GTTTTTATCCCGGTTTTTGAAACAGGGACGCGCGCGATAAAGTTTTTCTGTGACAGACAAAATTCCACGCGGGCGAAGCCGCGGGCGGAAAGCTAGTCGGATATAAATCGATCCCCCATAATTGTTTATGTGGGATTAATTGTTCGGTGGATACGCCGTCGGGAGAGCCGTATATCACGGCTGACGCGCGATTCAATTAAACCTGCCTGACAGCGATGGTCAAACGCGTAAAGTTCCGAGCCTAAACACACTAACACTAGAGCACTAGATCTGATAGCAAATATCTAGTAATACGTAATAGATACCGACCTGAGAAGGTTTAAGTTGCTATTGAATGGAACAACTGCTTAAGGTACCAAACCAACAATGAAGAGGACACGTTTTTACATGCGGCAAAGATAATGCATCAATATTTTTCTTTCTTTCTTCTTCCACAAAATATACCTCATTACCGTTCAGTTATGACGTCTTACTGTTAAATAACTAAATTTCTAGTTAGTCACTAATCAAACTCTAACGTCTATCGTTTCAACCGTGGTTTCAACACTCCTGTATCCATTTCCACGCTTACAATAACACCCTAAAATATCAAAACCACTATTATTCCATCCGTAAAGATAAGCTGTATTTATTTTAACGATTCCACTTCGTCTCTCTGTAAAGGAATATGGTGATGAGTAAATGAAACAAAAGAAAGAGTTTTCTCCTCCTCTAGCATTAGAGCACTAATTAAATCTGAAAATATCATGCAACTGGCTTCTTTCATTAGTGGCGAGCGAGTCCGAGCAAACGCAAACTTTTCTAGACCGGACGGGCGGGGGACATGCGAAAAAAGTGTCGTTTGCCTGGCTTCGCATGCGATAGTTACTGCCGGGGGTTACTTTTAGCACCGACGATTCGGTTGTAACAAATTTACAATTTAGTTTTTTTTACAAAAGTGACACTTTTTACGGACTAAGTAGGTGTGGTTGACACACCATATAGCTAAAAGTTAATTATGTTAAGTAATTGTAATATACATACACAATTATTTAGCAACAAAATGTTAGTGTTACCTTCCTTTAAGTAGGTATGTACCTATTAGTGATTGTAGGCCTATTTGTAAAAAAAAAAACATTTTCTAAGAAAATTCGTGAAGGTATCAAATTCATCCGGATTTCAAGCTTTTATATTGAGAGCTGTAAAAGAACCAACACAATAAACTTAAATCACAATTTAAGAGATTTAAGCGTTTAGGATCTGGCCAAAGAAAATCACTGTGCTTCGTGTATTCTCAGAACTGGATATAATCTGTACTCTGACAACACGACTTTTTTCACGGACTAGCCATCAATCGCCAAATGTAAAAATTGTCTATGCCTTAGTTAACAATTTGAATTAGGTGGCGGAGCATGATATCAAGTTATCGTCTCGCCCTAAGGGGGGTTGTTAAATCTCGCACAGATAATAAAGTGGACCGTATTTACGAGAGCTCGTTGCGAAGTTATAGGTCGATTCGATTAGCCCGATACAGTTTGAGCACACGTCCAAGTCCAACGTTGTGTATTTAGACTGCCGTTTATGGGCGTGCCTTTTAATGACTTTAGTTTTGATTAACTAGATTTCATGTTATTGTTTGGGGTATTATAATGTTTTGATGACGATCTGTTACTGACCTAAATTCGATTTAAGTTTACATCGTATTATACGGCACTGTTTTAATTAACATTATGGGGCTTATTACACAGTTAGACGTGGTTGAACACTTGTTTAAATTGACATTCAGTAAACTAAACTAAACACATTTTTAACGTGTGTTTAAATTCTTTTTAATTAGGCCCTGTCTCTTTAGCTTTCAGTCGAAAGTTCATCGTAAAAGTCAACATTTGACTGAAAGTGATAGAGCATTCATTTAAGTGACAGTAGTATTAGATTATAACTAATCTAATACTACTGTCACTTAAATGAATCGAATATGCGATTTGAAATCTGTTTGCTGATTGTTGAAATAGTAACCTATTTCAACAATCAGCAAACAGATTTCAAATCGCATTGGGTAAGAGATTTAATAATTCGCTCGAGATAATTTGCAATTAATAGGCTGTCTTCAACCGCCGTGTTGATGGGGACCTAAAACAACAGGGATATTCAAATGCTTCAGATAATTATTATGTTTTGAGAATATGTTTAAATATATCCAAGCTTTATTAGTAAAGACGACTTAAAATAGACAACGTTTTGATAGCTTTAAAAATAATCAATCGTTTTCTTTAGTGTCATTTTGCGACAAAAACATATAGACTAAGGCTGAGTTGCACCACCTAACTTTGACGGTAATTATAACGATAACCGGTGCTTTTTATATGGAGTTTGACAGATTTTTGACGTTTGTCAAAGTTAAAGTAAGATGGTGCAACCCAGCCTAAGAGTCCAACATTCTATCCTATATTGGGAGCATACGCTGACAAACGACCAGCTATTAGTCTAATAGTTATAATGATACTGCTAAGTTTGTTGATTGGTTTTCAAGACCATTTGATTATACTGCCATGGACTTCAGAGCAATTATTGTTTCATCTAAATATTTGAGCAGTTTGGCCACACCAAGTAGGAGCAGCTAACAGATTCCCTTAGGGAAGTTGTTCTACCAAACTCCCAAATCGCCCGGCTGCGGAGTGGTCACTGGTATTATTTATGTAGATTCGTGCGAGTAGGGTTACCAGGCGTCCGGATTTACCCGGACATACCTAGTTAGGCTTTTTGTCCGACTTTCTGGCTTTTGTTAGGCATTTTACTCGTACATTTACGTTCTTTCCCCCGGGATAAACTTGGTGGTTGAGTTTGTATTCCCAGTCAAGCTTTAGATCCTGACTACACATGAGTTGCAGCGATGGGAACGAGATGCGTTGTTAAAAGTGACTTTCGTACATTTCGTAAATGAGCGAGTGTCAAGAAAGATTTAAGTATGGTATAATCAAAGAAGCTTGATGATTGTGCATAAAAATCTTTTTCGCACCTATTAATACTGAAGAACAAAAAACTCAATAATGTAGTGTATCCGTCCTTACCCAAATGTCCGGCCAAACTCGATCTGTCCGGCTATTACGTTTAACAACGTGGCAACCCTACGTATGAGTCTGTTTGCGAACTATGCTCCGAAATATGTACGGGACTACGAGCTCGGATGGCTTGATTACCTACATTTCAGCATGATATGTATATTGTATGTAGCAGAATAAATAATAGCACAATCAGCAACAAAAGTTACTTCAGTTTGACGTTCGTGAAAAAAGCCCGGCAGAAGTTATTTGCGAATGAGGGTTTTTCATATTTCACTCCAACTGCTACGTGTACTGCTTTATGCCATTTAGGTTGATGAAAACCACAAATAAAAGTTTAAGCAACCTAAGTGGGTATTATGTAGTATTTTTCGCTGAAAAACTAAAAGTTCAGCCGAATTGTTCATGAAAAACGTTTATAAATGTCATGATTACCCCATACTTAGTAAGGTACTTTTTAAGTTCTTAATGTCAATATCAAGTATGCCAGGCCATTGAATTTTGTTTCGTATAAAAACTATTATTACAATAAGTAGTAATATACAGTGTGAGTCACGTTAAAGTGTACATATGAAAATAGATGAAACTAGACTATTTTTATCGACAAAAAAGAGGTCAAAAATTTTTGAGATTTTTTTTTTTAATTTTTTACAGATTTTTTTTTCTTCCAATTACTTATTGTAAAGAAAACGTAATAACTTTTAAACTAAGCGGTATATCCTGATAAAATAAAAACAGTAATAATGCTAAATAACAGGCGATACTAAAAAAATACATAAAATATACAAAAAAGGCCAACAAATAATAAAAAATGATACTTTTTGAAAAAAATCTGCTTTTAAATTCTTGTTTTTTTGGTTATTTGATAAATTTCTCCAAAAAATGCCCCTATAACCGGTGGTTTTTATTACTTTGTATTATTCTCTATCGTATTACCTTCGTAAAACCTAAAATCGNTGGGAATTTATTCTATCGAGTCAACTTCATCAAATCGTGTTTCCATCCGTTAATAGCCCTAGAAAATATCCTCAACTATGCCCAAAAAAAATCTTAGCCTTTCATTTTACTGTTTAAGACCTCAAAAATGAAAAATGAAAACCTCATTTTCGCCATTTTCTGTTACCCGGCCTTAACAACGAAACTGAAAATGGCTCTAGATTTGTAATTTTGATAAAGACAAGTTAGATTTCAAATAAAAACAAAAGATTTCGAAGTAAAATAAGCATTTTAGTTAAAATTAAAATTGTCTCTACCTGTAGCGGAGAATAATGTTTTGGCAGGCCTTTGTTCAAACGATCATAGCAAATGTTGTGATAGGGATAGAGACATGCGATTTTTGGTTTTACAAAGATAATACGATTGAGAATAATAAAAAGTAATAAAAACCACCTATTATAGGGGCATTTTTTGGAGAAATTTATCAAATAACCAAAAAAAAAAAAGATTTTTTTCAAAAAGTATCATTTTTTATTATTTGTTGGCATTTCGTGTGTATTTTATGTATTATATATATATTTAGCATTATTAATGTTTTTATTTTATCAGGATATACCGCTTAGTTTAAAAGTTATTACGTTTTCTTTACAATAAGTAATTGGAAGAAAAAAAAATTAAAAAAAATCTCAAAAAAATTTTGACCTCTTTTTTGTCGATAAAAATAGGTCTAGTTTCATCTATTTTCATATGTACACTTTAACGTGACTCACACTGTATAGGCACGCCGGGCACACATACTCTGTAACGTCAATGTATTCTGAGAACCAGTAGATTCAAGTCCACACTCAACCCAGCACGACATAAAACACAACACCGAACTTTATGTTTTCTTATAATTCTCCAACGACGTGTGAAATATAAGAGCGGAATAAACATAAAAATCACATCTACGGGGTTTTACGCCTCAGCAAATAAGTCATTGTCGAGAGTTCAAGTTTACTTGATCGACCGTAAACGCAACTTAGCCCTTATGATGCTGTTTACGGTCATTTTTGTAACTAAAATCCCCTGGCAACACGTGTGGATCAATCTGAAACAATTCAGTGCATTTTAACCTTGAGAAATTACAATTTATTTAACCCACGGCTTTAGGCAATGTACTTAGCAACTAGTTGCTCCATATTATCTGAAGTAAGTAGTTATTAAAAATCATATCAGTCGGAGACTTTTTTAACAATAATATCAAGTGTCAACAATTTCCCAATGGAGTCCCAGACCAAGAGCTGGGTAAAAGACATTAATAATAATGACGAATATGAAAATACATACGACAAAAAAACTTTAACTATTGTATGGAAAAGTATCATTTCATGACAGCATTACCCTAACATTGATAATCTGATCTAATGAAATCCAGATCGTAAAACAAAAGAACATTTCCGACTCAAATACAGAACAATAAAAGACATAAACCCAAGTTAACTCCTCGACTCCATAAAAACCTTCATAATGTAGGACCCATTAAGATGACACTCGAACGGCAAACAACGCAAAGACAAATTCTTCCATTTGCCAACACAATTTTACTGCTCTAGTTGCGGTTTTCATAAAATTAATATCTCGTGGTGGAACAGGTAAACGCCAACTTCGGGACGTGGAGCGAACTTTCTGGAGACAGGAAAGCAGAAAATTTAATATTCCCTCGGCATGTACTGACGACGGCACATCACGCGACTTCTTACGTTGTTGCAATAGAGGCTATTTTCCATCAAAAACGTAGCCTCGTGTGCTGATGACTGTACCTACTCCATGTTAGCAGAAGCCACTACGAAACTGGATCTTATCGAAATTAAAAAATAAAATGTAACCGCATAACCTACTTGCAGTTATTGCGTTAAAAAACAAATATGGAAGAAGTTTAAGTACGAGCTTTTGAACAAGATTAGTTCTCTCTGAGTCTTGAAGTAGGTACTAGTAATTATTGATACGCATTACATTATCAATGAAACACCTTATGTGCCTTATATTCTGTGTATTAATTAAAAGCAAACAATCTGGAAATAAATCCTGAAAAGATCGCCTCCTGTAGTTACACGACGCACATGTATTTAATAATCTGTACCTACATATTTTCTTCTTGCTTAGCCACCTAATAAGAAAGATGTCATTTCTGTGCACCCTGTCTATTAGTATCTACTTAAAAGTCCTAGCTTACAGCCGTCAAGTATAGAAACGCAACGCTGCACTCAAGACGCGTCTTAAGTTCTCATACGAGCTAACTATGAGCCACTGGCTTGGATCCTGTTCACAGAACGTTACAAGATAATATGTTAAGCATCCCAATAATTATTGTTTACGGTTGGAAGCTACCAGCTCCCCGATTTATCACAATAGGCTGTAAAGGTGATATACTAGGAGACGGACAGCTCCAAAGCTACCTCGTATAAGAAGGACATTTTATCGCCACTAAATTATGTTCTTTGGTGCATTACCACTAGTTTATAAGCACTGAAAGGGATATAGGCCCGTTGATGTATGTGTTGCGGGGAAAAATATAACATTCCACGCTTTATGTGTGCGTAAAACATGAAGCTTCTTTATTTTGTTGCTCACTCGGCGTTTAGCAGGTAGTAAAAAGTCCTGTGCATTATTGCTATCTGCGTCCAGCGCTTCCCTGTTCACCTACGATGTCGTCGGTCCACCTTGTAGGTGGACGTCTCACGCTGCCTTTTCCGGAACGCGGCCTTCATTCCAGAACCTTGCTGTCCCATCGGCCATCGGCCGCTACCAATCGATAAACGTGGAAAGCATTGGGGGAGGCCTATGTTCAGCAGTGGACGCCCTATGACTGAAATGATGATGATGATTATTGCAATCTACTTAATTACTGAACATTTTGTAAAGATGATGTAATATTTTAAAACTTTTATAATTAGCTACTAATGTTCAAAAGTGCCTATCTACCTATATTTTTGGAATAAAACGGTTTATCATGTGATATTATTTTCAGCTATTCATAACAAAGCAGGCCTTGTCAAAACAATATAAAACTAGGGTTTGATATAGGTCTGACAAAATTCGAAGAAATCTAAAACGATACTGATAATAGGAAGGATGTGTTATTGAAGACGACATTTCTTGACATAAACCTTAAACACTGATTAATATAAACTTATTTATGTAATAGGATAACTTCAAACTAATAATAAATAATAGAATTGTACGTAATTTATGTGCTCATAAATTGTTTGTTTTCATAGTAAAGAAAACATGTTTTCAGGTTGATCTTTTTCAATTTAATATGATATTGCTTATACATAAATTTGTTTAGGTTTCTTTTCGGTGCGATCAAATTAACAGATTATTAATAATAATAAGGAGAATATATTGTGTTGAATGGATAATTTACTGTAAAATTGTTATAATTGATACCTCTCATTAGATTACGGTCATGCTATCCTGACTCATTGACTTTTCCCGGCAACTATTAATTAATTGCATTAATATGTGTGCAGTTCGTTGAAATTTAATTATTCTGCTATCAACAGTTAGGCCATGAACGGTTAAATCTCAATATTGAATAGTGGCTACCGGTCAGCGGCTAAGGATGTGCATCGATCGAATACTTTATTAAAGTTTTTATATAGTTAAAGTTAAATTACGAAGTCAACAACTCATCGTTTAAGAAATGTAGTCGCCTATTTCATTATAAGTCCTATATTTATAATCATAATCAAAAATAAAATTATTGTAGAAAAGTTGATAAACCCATTTCATTCAACTTGTTTCAAAAAATTATCTAACCAAAACCTACTGATTTGAATTTTGAGTGCAGTTTTATGACATGGGCTGCAAGTGGAGTAGGTATGTATTTTTAGAAATTCAATTAACATCTTTAACTTTTTCTGTTTGTTATAAAACAACAAGAAATTCATCTCCAGGCGTTAAAATGTATAGTACCTAGTAAGCTGTCCAAATTAATTTCATCTTGGCCAAAAAAATCTTAATTAAATTGTAAATAATTGAAACACGCATCGAAATAATTTTAGCAAAAATACTCGAGTATGTGCAAGTGTTTGTAGCACTTTAGTACACGTATCAAGAACATCCCTAGCGAGTCCGCTACCGCGGCCCAACGACAGTTGATCCGCCCCGAGACTAATTACCGCCTACTCGTTTATTTACGCTCTTATTAAATGCCTTGGGAATGAATTTACAGATAAACCTTTACGACGATAGTACTCTATTACTACTACACCTACGCGGTATAGAACTTGCAACTTCCTGATTTTGCAAGTAGAATTTGGTTGTAGACGTCACTAGTCAACTAGCAAATTTTACAATGCCGATTTTTTTCTTCTTCTTTGTCTGCTAATGCGTTGTTGGCTTCGCAACAATTCGTATATTTATAATTTTTTTGCTAACTCAATCGACTAACATAAAAATTATAGTTTCAGTCTTAGTTATTTATTCTTTTTTTTATGTGACAGGAGGCAAACGAGCAGACGGATCACCATTCAAACAACCCTCCTTTATTAAAGGTTCTTAATTATTTTAAATGCCAAATTAATTAGTACATAAGGCGAACTTAATGCCATAATATGTCATTGTCTGCCAGTCTTCTTCGAAGCGTTTTAAGACCGGCCTTTCGTTGATAGTACTCTATTACTATACGCCTACGCAGGGCACGATTGCTGATTTCCTTCTGACTTCGTAGTAGGAATTAAAGCAAAATAAATATACCGACTGAGGCTATTTACTTTACTCAATATCTGTTACAGGTTTCTGAATAGCTAGGTATAGTTTATTAGATAAAGTTATATTTCCCCGCGATAAGAGATAAGAACAAAAAGTTCCAATAGTGGATAGATATAACGCATTCGGTACGTCCATTGAGTTGACACTTACCCACAATAAAAACACAAAATTCCCAGGCCTCGATAACAAAAGAAACTCGAAACGCTAATAAAAATATAATGCCAATAAAAACAAAATAAATCATTAATCCTTATAAGCAAGTGTACGATTCCTATTTTATATTTTTGTTACTTTTATTACAACTTTCTACGCGAGATTTACTAGCAATAAAATGTTCTTAGATTACCTTCAATTACACCGCTTTTGTAAACAGGTTGTGAGAAACTGAGTTTTCTAATAACGATTGATAACTTTTTTCTTTGTAGAGAAAACATATAAAATTATCACTTCACGGGATTTATTGCAACAATATCTATTGTTAGACAACAAATAGATTTTTTTGGCGAAGATGAAATTAATTTGGACAGCTTACTAGGTACTATACATTTTAACGCCTGGAGATGAATTTCTTGTTGTTTTATAACAAACAGAAAAAGTTAAAGATGTTAATTGAATTTCTAAAAATACATACCTACTCCACTTGCAGCCCATGTCATAAAACTGCACTCAAAATTCAAATCAGTAGGTTTTGGTTATAGATAAATTTTTTAAACTAGTTGAATGAAATGGGTTTATCAACTTTTCTACAATAATTTTATTTTTGATTATGATTATAAATAAAGGACTTATAATGAAATAGGCGACTCTACATTTCTTAAACGATGAGTTGTTGACTTCGTAATTTAACTTTAACTACATAAAAACTAAATAAAGTATTCGATCGATGCACATCCTTAGCCGCTGACCGGTAGCCACTATTCAATATTGAGATTTAACCGTTCATGGCCTAACTGTTGATAGCAGAATAATTAAATTTCAACGAACTGCACACATATTAAAATGTAATTAATTAATAGTTGCCGGGAAGAGACAATGAGTCGGTGCCATGACTGTAAACTCGAAACGCTAATAAAAATATAATGCCAATAAAAACAAAATAAATCATTAATCCTTATAAGCAAGTGTACGATTCCTATTTTATATTTTTGTTACTTTTATTACAACTTTCTACGCGAGATTTACTAGCAATAAAATGTTCTTAGATTACCTTCAATTACACCGCTTTTGTAAACAGGTTGTGAGAAACTGAGTTTTCTAATAACGATTGATAACTTTTTTCTTTGTAGAGAAAACATATAAAATTATCACTTCACGGGATTTATTGCAACAATATCTATTGTTAGACAACAAATAGATATTGTTGCAATAAATCCCGTGAAGTGATAATTTTATAGTAAAAAATGCAACATAATAGTTTAAAATTGTTAGGGATATATTAAGTCCGCTACAGAGCAATAAACACAGTGGTTGGTAGTAACATAATAAATATATTGGTATCAAAGCGGTTCCAGCTAGCCAGCTCTACGTTATGCAGCATGAAGGTGCTCATCAACAAAAATATTATATGAGAAAACATATTTAATGATAGTTTATTCCTTTTGGTATTTCTTACCTTTCACAGCAGCCTCGATGATGCCAATACTCCTCAAAGTCAGCGGCACCGGTTCCACAAGCAGGCTCAGTCGCAAAGTCCCCGACTCCAAATATTTTTCTGTCAGGAATATCGCATATGTGCGCACACGCAACGAAGGGCAGTTAAACGAATATGAAATCTCCACCATCACTGTAGCGTCGCTAAATCGCAACGAATTCGATGCACCGAACCGAACGGCCACTTCTATATCATTCAAATCACCTTTCAATACTCTTCGAATGTTCACTTTATACACTCGTGTACTATTTCTTGAGACGACACTAAACACTTTTCCCGTGAACACGTATTTGGACAGCATTGTGACGCGTTTGAGTTCGACTTTGTTTGGAATAGAGTTGCAATTGCGAGGGGTTTTTGCATCGTATGCGTTTAGGAAAGCAGCTGTCAAGAGTAGGGCGAGTAGGTTCATGATGGACGAGTGAAGTGCGCGCCTATTTCCGCGACACGACTCGCTTTGTAAACTAGGGATTTGTAGTGCGTGCGCGCAGGCCTGGGGCGCACCGGAGGCTGCCGCGCCGCGCCGGCTCGCACCCACACAATCCCGAGCGTTCACCCAACCTACCCTACATATTTACATACTGATTGGCTCCGCGTAAATAACACCACGCTTGTAATAGAACCCCGGTGATTGGACGCGACGTTTATCGAGACACCATCTTGATTTGTCCCCTGCATCATTATGGAAAAACCATTTGTTACCTGGACGTCTCTATAAAGTGTAATAGAACGCGCAGTTGTGATCTATTATGATAGCGGAGCATTATTTGTAATAGATATGAAATAATACAAATCTAACATTAAATTACAGAGAAAGTAAATGACTACATATTTCTTGAATCTTGGTAATATTGAGCGTAGTCATATAAATTAAGACGATTAATGACATCAATGCAATCCTAGAATTACGTTACTTTCACTAACTTAGGCAATAATAACTTTGTAGTTTCTAGTTGAAACACAATTACACCTACCCACACAAACGCATAAAACACTGCCAACGCATTTCCTGACAAATAATAGGCTTTTACTGCGTTTAATGCCTACTCGTCGTACCTACACTTGATTCCTAACCCAATGCCCGGTTAAAGCGAATATTACGTATCACCTACCATTTATAGCAGGTACTATTCGATATTGTGACGTGTACTGGCTTTGCCCGAGTTGAAAAGTCATCTGTTTTAAGTAAAAATGTAGGTACGTAGGTAATATTCCGGAATATTGTACCGCTCGAATGGTAAAACTCTTCAAATGTAGTGTAGTGTAGTGGTTCCAAATATTACCCTCTACTTCAAATACCTGCCTTGTTATGCATATAAAAAATAAAAACGTACATACAAACTCACAAAATTCTGACTTTTTCCATAATAGCATAATAGTAGGTAGTAGTAGTAGTGTAGATGTAAATATTTTCATGGCCTGTTCGAAGAATACAAAATATAACAACGATATTACGGTCCATTCCTAATACTCATAACTTTGTACTTTGTAANACTTTGTAGGATGATACGACCATCTGCATTAAATTGGGAAATCATCACGAAGGGGCGTCCCCTACGCCCACAATGACTTGATAAATTACAACTAAAGATCGACTAACGGAGAACTTAATTCAATCAATCACGGGTAATGACACAGAGTAAAAGATCCTTTTGCATAGGGCGGTTATTAAACTTTGTCGATAAATAAAGTTTTTGCGGCGCGACGCGAGCGCGGGCGGTTCCACAGAAAATCATTAACGCGACATCAAAAATCAATTTGTTTCTTGCGTTCTGATGCCATTCGACGAAACAAATATCTCTTGTAGAACATTAATTTGTAGAAGTCAATTACAGACATTACAGTTAGCGTAATTTGCCACTTAAATCAATCTATCAGTTCTAGTAAGGTCTTTGCAAATAGCGCAAATGAATTGGAATCAATACCGGCGAACTAAGTTCCAATCTCATAGAGCGAGCTCAGTGAGCGGTCTTTGCTTTTAATACAAAATTAATTACCATATGTACCGCTAATTGTGCTTTCAAATTCAAACAATGCTTTAAAAAATGGCAAAACGACGGATTTATACAACCTGATGTCAACATAAAGGTCATAAAATTAAAATTCATGCCTACAAAGGCGGTCTAGTGGAGTTGCAATTAATATGAAAATCTCTGGACAATATTTATGACACTGGCAGAGGCGAAATTATTGCAGAGTTTAATATTTACTGACGGCCCGTATTTTACACGTCGAGGGGATTACGTGCGAAATATAAACGTAAGCTGCGTTATCCAAATTTAATGGTCGCTATTTTGACACTTGATCATTCGACTTTCCTAGAATGGCTGGTGGCGAACGCGAAGTATAATAGGGCCCGTTTGTTACTGTCGACAGGCCGCACTTGTCGGGCGCGCGTTTATTTACGACTGCCAATTCATGGTTGCAGCTCCTTCGCTGTCCAATAACGCGGAATTTGCTGGCAGCCGACATGCAGGTATTAGTTGTTAAGGCAATAACGACGACGGGCGCGGCCTATATTCGGAGGCACTTCAAAGTGCCACGCAATGTGTGGCAGCGCTGGGACAGGCGGCTATTGCATTCTGTCGGCGCATCGCGCAGAAACTCCCAGAGCTGGCGGATAATTCAACGCAGCGATTACTTTCGCGAGTGGCGGCGGCAGCGGCTGCGTGAAATATGGCCGCACCTACGTTTACGTTTCAAATAATCCCCGCGCTCTGGAATTATAACCCGTGAATAAACATAAAAGGCCGCGGCAGCAGGCTGTAATTCCGCGGTGGAAATGTCGTAAATAATTGTCGTAGCTTTCGCGCTAATTCCTCGCCAGGAGTGGAATCTATGAGATCGCGAGCGTTGCAAAAAGTTACCTGTTGCGTTGTTTGCGAGAGCTTAGAATTTTATTACTGAAACTATTTTAAAAACTTGCTGTAATTTAAATTCCGACGCCTTTGTCTCGTCCACGTTGAAAGTTTTCTGCTTTGATGTAAAACATCGGCATAACACAACGAGGATTGTATGTATATCTAAATGGCGTCATTGTTTTAAAATAAACAATAAACAAACAACACTTCAGACGTCATAAAAACTCTCATAATGCGCCGTCAGGAGAATAGTTCCTAAAGAACATAGAACTATAATTGTAAAGTGTCATAAGATTCTTACTTTTATTGCAATAGTTCGTTTATGAAGTTCGCGAAAATGTCCCATGTTTTGTTTTCAAAAAGTAAGCACAAGTGTAGTTTCTAGTGCAAGTTAGTAACTTTGCAACAACTTAGGTTAAACAGTAATTATTTACTTCGTAAAAGTAGGTACACGTTAGAGGGGCGTACATACACGAGTATCGCTCAGGGTTGACAACGTCTTTCAAAGCACAAGGAAATGCTAATATTAACAAGGGAAAACTTTTCATATTTATTTTTGTACTGTTTTTGTTATATCGTAGATGTCAAAGGGCGGTGGCGTTTGTTCTGTGAAGTAAAAATAAAATAAACAATACATTTCTCTTAGAGGGTTTATTTTCGACGTAGAGCACTGTAGACATTGTTTGATCTTATTATTTGGGGTAAAATGTCTATTCTGATGTGTACTCACAAGAACCGTTATAAACTTTGTCGGAATTCTCGAGGACTATCCCAGATTAATGATAAAGAAGAAAAACAAGAGCATTTTAACATTAAAACAGAGTATCGCAAAGGCAAATTGCAACCATATAGGTGTTAAAGTTAGAGTCGTAAATTACCGCGCTCGCGTCAGTGCTGAAAATTATCATATTCCAGATTGATTAGCTGATAAATGCTGTCAACAAATTCTGATTTAAGCAGCGGCAGCCCTGTCCCGCTGATTGTTGGCTGAGCATGTTGGCGCCAACTGTCTCCCTCAGGTTGTCACAGCGCACAGCGGTAATTAAACATTCCTCAGTCTGATATTAACCCGTTTGAAAATTCTAACTATGCCGCCGCTAGGCTGTTCCTATGAAAATGTTTTGCCAGCGCGAACCAGTTAAGTGGTTACTCGCGCTCTCGATAATATTCGTACGCGAAATTCCATTTGATAGTAATTTTCATAATGAAACACGTAGAGCTTCGCGGTTGTCTGCGAACACCCAATTATGAATTCCTTGAACATCTTGTTGACACTAAATTTTGCACATTTAAGGTATTACGGTGAACTCGTGGTAAATATTTAACGTTCAGAATACAAAAGTTAATCTAGCCCAAATAAACGAAGGATAAAGCTTCCTAGAGCTTTTTGTAAGACAACCACTGCCTTCATAATCGAGGCAGTCATTATCATAAAGAATTCAAAAAGTAGGTACTTAGTAAAATATGATAATGACAGGGTTACAGTACCTTTCAACTTTATTCAAATGACTTGAAAGAACTAAAATCATTTCTTATAATTCCTCATGCGAGGCTAAAAATAAGATCTCATAAATATCATTGTAAAAAAAGTCTATTTATAAATTACAAAGGCTCTATAAAGTCACGAAGAGTTCTTTTATAACCAGTGGGTATGTCACAAGACGTATATCAGGCCACTGAATAATAAAGTAGAGTAAACAAACTCATATAACAACTGAAGCTTCCTTATACGAACGACACTTGCAAAATCTTTTGTCTTTTGAGGTTTTCAGAACTCCGCTAGGGAACCCTAATGCCTTCAGGAAACCTATAAATACTCACAGCCACTGAACTGAGCTGATAAATTTCCAAAGAAAATCTTAATCGTTTAGTAGTAGTAGTTCAATTAAGACAAAGTTTGTGTTAGGAGTTTTTAGTTTTTCATTTTATAACCAACAGAATAATAATTAGTTACAAGAGACATCTTGTAATTGTTCTAATAATCACACCAAGGTGGAATTGTGTAAAGTAATCGTTATCATTTGACAGTTCATAACGTACGATAAAATCCGTTAAACAAAGCAGTTCACAGAATAATCGTACAGAATAAGCAGCGTTGACAGAATCATCGTACGTTATGAACTGACAAATGATCGATTGATTTACAAAATTTCAACTTTGATTCAATAAAGAAAGTTATAATAATGTAACTTTATAGTAATATAGGAAATCTATTTCTAAATGTAATATGAGTCAAATTAATATCTGTTTCCATGTGCCTTTATTAAACTTGGTATAGTAACTAACAGCAAGTCACTATTGTGTAAGAAACGTGTAAAGTATTATGTGTAGGTACTTACGTTAAATCGATTTAACAGTGTTACATATGTATACCTAAATTACCTAAGCTTTAAGACTCGAGCGTTATAAGATCCTGCTAATCATGATAATATTTGTCCCCAACGAGATATGAACCCACAACTACAGCTGGCGTTGTATTTTGGACCCTATGCAAACCAAAAGACCTAAAGGTCTATTACTATCTACTTTTCTAAGGCGAACTCAATGTTTAAACAAACTTTGAACTTCTAAAAATCCAAGCCAGCCTTGCCAGTAACCTACAACTTACTTCCCTAAGCCCGCAGGCTATTTTCTTTCTAAAAAAAACAACGACCATCCGAGTAATAGACGCCTACATGGAAACATTTCTAAGGAACTTCCACGGCAATTTCTTATTATTTCTCGAGAAAAGTTCAATCGGATTTGTCACGGTTTCTATTTTATTCCACGTGACTTTCTCGAAAAACGTAAATAAAGGCGGCAATACACATGCCAGTAAAAAGGAACAGTGGCTTACATGATTGTTAATGGTATGTGCAAGTAACTGGTGCAATGTGGATACATTTGCATGCAATTTGCATCCTTGTTTCCAAGTATAAAAGTTTTAAATCGAATATTGTACTATCTACTCGCTTGCCAGATCCAGGCATGCCAGTTTAACGTATACACGTCATGACAATTAATGAACTGTTTAAGAAAGTGTACCAGTAACAAGCATGTGTAATGTGTATCGCCGCCTTAACTACAGCACACGCCTCGGATCAGAGAAATGAATAGAGCTTTTAGCAATATTACAAACGGTTACGCTAACGACTGTTATGACGAAATTAATGCCTCCACTAAAGGACTGCTCATATGGCAGCCCTCGATCATAATATCAACGGGTCGTGTTTGTCTTAAAACGTTATTGCTCGTTAACTCGCAGCCGTTAAAGGTCTTTTGTTTGGAGAAAAACTAGAATAATTTTTGTAGGAAGCAATTTTTAGGACCTCCCACAAAATATTGTACAGTTTTAGTCATCGTCTTCAAACGTAAGTTGGTGTAGTATCTTTGTAAGTTAGTTTTATCTGGCAACAACTTGCAGGACGCGCGCTGCGATGATGGTGATAATGTTGTAGTCCGCTATACGTTTTGCCTGCACTCTACCTAGAATCATCCTGAAATCGGTACTGTATCATACATTTCAAGGCAACATTGCCCCCGATAGTTGAAAAAGCTCATCTAACATTTTTTTCGAATATGAGTTATCTAAAGAACCGCTAAGAATTACCCATTTCAATTATTTGAAACTTTTTAAATCCTTTTTGACTTGGTATTAGATCTTTAGATGCGCCCTTTTAACTATCGGGGGCAGAATGATAGAGCCCATTGCCCTACGTCACTATTAGGGCGATTCCCGCTTGACCGGTGTAAAGTCCGGCTCTCAAGCCTTCATTTTCTCGTTACAGCCATTTCTGGCTTAATGTGACACCGTATTTGGTACCCGTAATAAAGCAAGAACAGGATATTGGTGGATATAATTTGGTACACTTTAAGTACACAATGTTGATTATGTGCTTTATTTGCGCAAGCGAATAAGCTTGGTAGTTACATTAATAAATAACCACATTATGTACCTAATCCTATATTCTACGGATGAGACTCAATTCTAACCTACGTAAAAATAGTAAGATTACATAGATTACTGTAAAGAATTTTACACCATGAGTTACGTTTGATTCCTTGAACATAAAAAATAAACATGACTATAGTAGTCTAATAAACGCGTCCATTAAAATATACGATTGTATAATAGAACATAAGTCAATACAAAAGATGAAAGGGAATTCTTGCTCATCTGTGAATGCACTAATCCTGAGCACAAAGGTTCTAAGAATCTTTAATTGTGTGCAACATTAATCAATGACAGACCTACCAAGTGTGAAAACGTCAAGATAAACGAGCTACAACACTGAGAAATTAGTTCCACGCATATTATTTAGAACGCTAATTAATAAATGGCAAAATGCGAGGGGCACCGCAGCCCTATATAAGACAATAGAAACATACACAGAGGGCTCCGTTCCAAAGTGACTTCATATAACTTTATTGTGAAATACACAAGGCAAGAAAATGAACGTTCGAACCCGAACCCGTTCATGTTTCAGTAGATTGCTAAAATTATTTGCTAGAAATGATCCAAATAAAAATAAACATAGAGAAAAAAATTATGTCGTATACCTATCTACTTAATTTTTTTTTTTGAATAGAACCACCTTTGGTCTATTGGAATTGATACTGCAATATTACTACATAATAAAACGCTACGATTTTTTTGGCTTAGCCCGAAACTTCTGGTAAACTGGCAGAAAATGCCTTGGGCATTAAGTTCGCATTATGTACCAATTATATATGACATTGAAACTTAAATAATTATTATAACTTAGAATCATTTCTAGGCGAGTGGCAATGGCAGCGCAAATGACTATTTCCTCGTGCATGTGTGGTTCGCAAAGAAGCAAGCTTTCTGTATCTAGCTCTATTTGGATATTCACAATGTGGTGAGCACACATAGGCTTAAGTATATTGTGTCTGTTACTACACACACTACCATTAATGAAACATTACAGCTGTTCTCGATGACGAATGTGAAAGAGGTGAGAATCCTTAGATTGGCTTGTTGCTTGGTATATTAGTTAATTAGATACCTCTAAGTATGAACCGGATGGACCCACTTTAACTTTTAGAGAAACACAGAACACTACCAAAGGCATGTGGTGACGTCGTAAGTGACAATATAATTATATTTCTATTTTTTCTATGTGGTTTTTGTTGAGCCTTGAAACTCGCTTGAACTCTGGAGAAAGACACAAATTAATTAAGTACCTTTTAGGTAATAAACTTGATGAAAAATGCCTACGTCATTTTTAGCGCAGCATATGATAGAGACTCTATGACACAAGTGGACAAAGCCACAAGCAGAAGTTGGTGTCAAAAGTTATTATTATTACTTACACTATTACCTACACATTGTTTTAAACGTTGCCTTTTGCAGTGTTGCTTACAATTTTAACCCATAACAGACAACAGATCCCGGCGTGGTTCAATTAAGAGAGCGCGATTACAACAAGGCAATATCCACCGCGAGTCTGTGGCTGCGGTTCTGTCAAAGCGGCGGGAATCAAATTGTGAAAAGATAACGGTAATTTCGCTAATTTGTACCCCGCTTTATAAGGAGTTGTGTTTGCGAACGTGTTGTTCATTTGTTTTTGTTTTAATAACGTAGTAATGAACTTTGATGAAGAATTTGGTACCAAAAGTTACACTATAATTTTAAGGGCTTAGTAAAACCTTTTAGCAATAGAGTTCACCAATAAACATACTATAGATAAGTATAAGTAATTTAGGTCTCATAGTAAAAATATGTCTGATTTCTAATCAATCAGTAAAGCCTTCGATGCATTAGAGGAGAAAGAACATTTATCACATAGAGCTCCAGAAACAATTGCCAGAAAATGCCCAGAATTTCATTTGTTTTTAGATGCAAGTATTCAATTAATGTGGAAGTTTGAAACTGCCGTTGCAAAGGAAGATACTTTTAATGCTTTGGTATAATTTTATTAGCGCGATTACAATCTAATAGCTCTCACTAGTCCATTATTGATAAGGAAGACTTGTAAAAAACTTTTTACGACTTGCTTTCAGTTGGTCGTCTAACAGAATAATGGCTTTAAATTTTGAAGCTCTGGCTTTTATGAAGTAGACAGCGATAAGGGGGATTATAAAAGGGAAGAGGGGCGAACTGTAGATAAGAAAATAATGGGGCGACGATGAAAACTCAGAGAAATGACTGGAAATTTATCCGTTCTTTTATTACGTATCAACATTAAAAAAAAGCGATTCAAATCTTCAACATTAAAGTACTGTGGTGTCGTTATGTCACTGAGGACTTGAAAAAGTCTCAAAGAATTGTGTTAATATTAATGACCGTGTTGAGTAGGTTAAATAAAAATAAATGTTGTTTTTTTATAACTGTATTATTTCAGATAGATTGTTACAAAACGCATAGATATGTTAAGTTAACAATATTTAGAAAATTCAAGTTAAGTTTTTAAGTATCACAATGAAGTTCGATAGTTTCAGTAAGTTTAGATAGGAAAGAACTTATTGCTCTAAGATTACATAAGAGAATAAGATTAGGATTCGAATAGCTAACAATAAGACATTATCCAATTTTAAAAGTCTATTTTATCTTTCAGGCTTTATTTAAACTTTCAATAAACTAAATGAGAATGTTAACGATACAATAGGTTTGCTATTTAAATAAATAAAATTCATTGGAAACTTCATTTATGTAATTGTTAAATGGTTAACTTAAAAACATAATTTTCTGTTTGTGCTTTCACTAAAAACTGTAAAACTATAATAACTGCCGTACTTTTAGTTAAAAACTATTTTTTAAGCCGGTACACACCTACTGACTCGTCAATTACTGGTCATTTTCTTACTTTTTCAAGTTTTGATACCTATCAATATTTTTTATTAACATACTGAAATGTAAATATGATATTTTTATTCAATAGGGAACAAAAAACAAGTAATAAGCGGTAAATAAAACACCATATTTAACGAATACCGAAATTTTCTTTCCTTCGCGCGCGATAATTCTTCTTTAAACACTCTCATTGTAATCTTATCAGAATAGCTGCCGAATAACGAGCATTACATAATTTAATACGCCAATTTACATCTTGTTTAGACTAATATTAAGCCTCATTTTCACTGAAGAAAAGAATGTATTTCGTGGATTTGGCTGGCGTCGCAGTTTCTACGCCTTTACGTTCTTCTCTTTTGGTCACAGTTTGGATAGCTTCCAGATACGGCAAAACCACCGTGTGCTGATGGAATGTAGTTTATTTCTATAAATGAACTCCAGTATACCTTGCAATATAGGCTTTGTTAAAATATTGTAGAGTTTAAAATATTGTAGTTAATCAGCTGCTGATTTACAGCAACATTAAAATCATCGACAACAGATTTAACAACAAATATTACATTTTCGGATGTTAATGTTACGAGTTACCTAACGAGTTATACATACCTACGAGTTATAGCCTCATCATCATCATCATTTCAGCCACAGGACATCCATTGCTGAACATAGGCCTCCCCTAATGATTTTCATATTGACCCGTTGGTAGTGGCCTGCGGTAGTGATACCCTACTAGTTACTCGTGTACTTCTCCTGACAAAAGGAGGTTAATGGTAAGATCAGTGTACTTAGCGTCCCGATCAAAGGTGCAGTTCGTAATACTTACCTACTTTAACAAAAAATGGTTCCCGCTGAAAACCAGCTTCTCGACATGGCGCTTGTTAAGTCGCGAATATAGCTGAGCGGACGCCTCTTCAGCATAGCTTGTACTTAGTTTAATGTTATATGTACTGTATTTTTATTTTATTTTCTATGCTGAATAAAGTATGTATTCTTATTCTTAAAAATGTTACTGTACCAGCAGCTGAATTCCAATTTCGTTAAAAATCAATGATAACATTGACAATAATCAACAATTCAAGGACATACAAGCCGGGCCAGATTGTGGGGGGTGCACGGACGGATCCCGTGCGAAGTGACGTGAAGCCCGCGCGATGGCGGGATGACGTCACGCCCGCTCACGCGCAGTCGGTGCACGCAGCCTACGAACCCGTGGAGGTTGGCGCCGGATAATCTGGAGAAGAACGGCTGTGTTACCAGTAGAAATGGCTGATGAGTTTAGTGAATTTTTACTTCTCGTCTGGTAGAGGTATAAGTACCGCCACAGAATAATAACTTATGTAGGTACTGTACTACTGGCTACTGCTACTGGCCAAAAAAGGTACAGTGGCCACAAACGGGGTTTAAACCCTACGTGATGATGATCGATTTATCTGCAGCTTTTTCTGTATACCTAACTGTATACATATGTGAAACTTAACTTCAACTCAAATATTTAGGTGAAGTAATTATATGACACCGCAGCATAAAAAAAAGTCAGAACTTGCCTATAAGATGACTAACTCTATACGAGTATGTGACGCTGAATCGAATAATATTATGATGGTTATTATTACGTCATAAAACATAACGCACCTCGTAACATTTTCAGGTGGATGGCCGACGTAGATGAAAGGGTCGACGTCTAGCGAAGTCATCCGACCCGGCGCCGACCCTCTCGCCGTGGCCGAGCCGACCCGCAGCATTGCGTCTTTCTTGTATCTCCTCGCTGACACCTTCGAGCGGCCGTCTATCTTCACCTTCCCAGAGTGCAGCTCTGCTGGTCCACTCCCCGAGTCCCATCGCAAAACAGCCCTCTCCCCGACGTAACCCAGCCACAAATGGTCCCGCGTCCCTGAAGCGCTCACTAGCGCCCCTGTCCCGCAAACAGCAGACACCTCCGCCCAAATATCAAAACGCTTCGCCGGCAACCTAGTCCGAGCCGTCATCCTCGCGCTCCCATCAAACAACGGCACCTTATACATATCAGATGACTCCTCCACAAACTCCTCGTACAACAAATAATCCTCTTCCACCTCATTCGTCAGCTCTTCCTCCTCAAAATCAATCTTTGGCTTCGACTTCGGCACACAGCTCGGCTCATCTCTATCTTCGATAACGAAACTCTCTGCGAATTAATTGTAATATCTTAAATTGAAATCTTAGATTAAAGTGCCATTATCTACTAATTAACGATCGGTGCGGAATCTACTGTCTAGCTCATAATCTAGCGGTATCCGACCGGCGGGAGGATGTCGACGCAGCTTAGCTCGGGGTCGGGGCTGTCGGGCTTGCCGCTATCGCTGGTGTCTACGGAAGCGTCGGTGAACTGGAGAGAGTTGGTGGAAGAGTGTTCGGAGTGTTTTAGTATCGATACGGGTTCTCTGATTGGTGATGGGCGTCGTTTTGTGCGGGGAGGGTCGGCTGAGCGGGTACCTCGCCTGACGTGGGGGGTTTCTTCTGCGCAGGGTCCGAAGGCCTGGGCGACGACGTCGGACTGGGTGCGGCAGGCGTGGGACCTGAGGTGGCAGGTGGAGAGGTAGGTGCGGCCGTCGCTGCCGCATACTGAGGGCCCGTCGGAGGGCGGGCACTCGGTGGCGCCGCACTCGCAGGTCGCGAGCCCGCTGCGGACGACGCAGTAGGCGCCGAAGTAGCACGTCATGCGGTCGCAGTTGGTGGCTGGCAGTTGGGTCGACTCCGCTGTAGGCAAGACATAAGAAATAAAAGCAAAGCAAATAAAAAAAAATACTCAAAAGACACAAATTTCAGACTTCCTTGTACTAACGAAGTAAGCATTCGTAAAGGCGTGTGGTCTATGCCGGGCTTGCACAAGCAGTGACCGGTCATCTACTCGCAGTTCTCGCGTCAAAGCGCGGCTCTGCCATATTTAAACCTTACTCAAATGATACAAAGTTCAAAATGCTACTAAACGGTCGAAGCAGCCGTTAGGGCCGAGCGTCTGCTCGTGGTTGGAGCACACGATGCACTTCTGCCCCTGGATGCCGGGCTTGCACATCTCACGTCAAGGCGCGCCTCTCCCCTGTATAATAATAAACCTTACTCTAAAGACACAAAGCTCAAAATGCTACTAACGGTCGAAGCAGCCGTTAGGGCCGAGCGTGTGCTCGTGGTTGGAGCACACGGTGCACTTCTGTCCCTGGATGCCGGGCTTGCACACGCAGCGGCCGGTCATCTGCTCGCAGTCTTCGCGAACTGAACCGAACGCCGAGCAGCCGCATGCTGGAACAAAATAACTTGGATAGTGCGGGAGGGCCTTTATATTTTGTAGGATGTTAATGCGGTAAATGTGTAAATTCGGCACTGCACAGAACACTCAATCATCATCATCATAATATCAGTCATGATGTCCACTGCTGAACATAGACCTCCCCCAACGATTTCCATAATGACCGGTTGGTAGCCTTCCTGCTACCTTTATGAGGTCGTCGGACTCAAGACAGACAGAAGACTCAATATCATTATGAATTAATGCCAATATTTTATTCTGATGTTTACTGTAAAGTTTCAGCAAAATTAGTTCAGTAATTTCTGCTCAAGAGTAGCAAAGAAATATTTCGTGATTTATCCTCATAAACTTTCACGTACTAATAGAAACCCTACAAATAATATTATTAAGACTTTTTTAAAACAAAACCTTCACCAGAGCCGTTTTCACCATCAATCCCTAATTTTTAAGTGACCCCTATGAAAACAAAATTCCTGTTACATATTTGTTGCCATATGGGTCACTTAAAAATTAGGAATTGGTGGTGAAAACGGGCATAAGTCAATCATAATTTATTTTGTGGTTTTAAAAAGTGTCATAAAACTGGCCACTATTTTAATTTAATTTTACTCACGTATACACCCAGTATGCCCCGTCCCAATCCTCGGCAGTCCCCAATATCCAGGCTCACATCTATCACACTTCAGACCACCAACGCCCGGCCTACACACGCACTGGCCGCTTTCGTCGCATTGCTCGGATACGGAACCCAGCCTATGGCACCCGCACTGCGAAGGGCACCCCACGCCGCCGGGCCCTCTCGCAGGAGTGACCCCGTCGGAGCAGCAGCCGTGCCACGACTCTTGGCACCCCTTGGTTTCGACTAGGCCTTTTTCTGGAACAAAATGTGCCGTAAATTATGACTAAAGTTACAGTTGGTTTCCCTCAAAAACTAAATAAAAACCAAAAGTCACCTATAACTTTTTCAACTCATTTTGAAACAACAATAAAAAATCTGTTCTAACTCAAACATCGATTCATGACTTGAATCTACCTTTGAGTGTCATTTTAGAAACATGCAGAAATGACTTTTCGAAACCAATCTTTACAACATCTAAACTTCACCTCTGTTGATGGTCATCATACCAATACACCGTTTATTAACATTAATATCTATGTACTAACGGCCACAGTTCGCTCTCATCAAATGGTGATTCTTTGCGATAAAACAAGACGACATGACCGGAAATGGATAGCTGAAACTGTGGCCGATAGTGCCTCATAACCAAGAAAAACCAGAACAAAAGAAAGTACCTTTTCTGCAACACCGAGCTGCCTTTGCAGTATGATGACAGTAGCTGCCAACAGGACAGTCTTTCCGGTGAGGGCCCCCGCCGCAATCCAATGGACGCCCATCAGAGTCCATAACAGGCTCGTCATCGCCACACGGCCTGAACTGCAAAGCAATAACAGTGGTACTAATAACCAAATGACCATGGAACTTTATATTTATGGATGTCACGTAAAAAAACTGTATCTAGTGCAACCAAAAATCTATTTTGAAGATTAGCGGGGAAATTTTGCATTCAAGGTGAAAGTAAAATTTTAACACTCGGAATTTCGTAATCGCCTTCATCATCAACATCATCATTTCATTCATTTGCTCACTGCTAGTCGATTTAAGCTTCATTCATTAAGCCGCTACCAGCTATCTTCTTGAGTTACTCATAAATACAGGACTCTTGCCGAGACGTGGTTTTGATTTGAGAACCACTTTGGTTCTTCAAAAACGTATTTTTAGCAAAACTTTCTGGTCAATACCTCTAACCCTCGACACAAAGGCAGCGGTCGCAGCCTCAAGTCTTCCTGTCGCCTGCAAGCTTCTAGCTTCATGTGGCACAGTGTAGGGTACAATCGCAAGTCTGATGCACACACTGGGGCTGACGACGCAGCCGCAGCCGCTGCGGCGGCGCAGTCAAATAAGCAGGCACATCTGGTAAGAATAATGGGTTTTCAANTCGCAGGTAGCCAGCCCGCTGCGGACGACGCAGTAGGCGCCGAAGTAGCACGTCATGCGGTCGCAGTTGGTCGCTGGCAGTTGCGTCGACTCCGCTGTTAACAAAACATTTACGTTTACTTTAGAAGGAAAATAAAAACCTTACTCAAAAGATACAGAGTTCAAAATGCTACTAACAACGAAGCAGGCGTTAGGGCCGAGCGTGTGCTCGTGGTTAGAGCACACGCAGCGGCCGATCATCTGCTCGCAGTCCTCGCATCAAAAAACGACCTTAGGTACTCAAAAGACACAAAGTTCAAAATGCTACTAACGGTCGAAGTAGCCGTTGGGGCCGAGCGTGTGCTCGTGGTTGGAGCACACGGTGCACTTCTGCCCCTGGATGCCGGGCTTGCACACCTCACGTCAAGGCGCGCCTCTCCCATGTATAATAATAAACCTTACTCTAAAGACACAAAGTTCAAAATGCTACTAACGGTCGAAGCAGCCGTTAGGGCCGAGCGTGTGCTCGTGGTTGGAGCACACGGTGCACTTCTGCCCCTGGATGCCGGGCTTGCACACCTCACGTCAAGGCGCGCCTCTCCCATGTATAATAATAAACCTTACTCTAAAGACACAAAGTTCAAAATGCTACTAACGGTCGAAGCAGCCGTTAGGGCCGAGCGTGTGCTCGTGGTTGGAGCACACGGTGCACTTCTGCCCCTGGATGCCGGGCTTGCACACGCAGCGGCGGGTCATCTGCCCGCAATACTGGCGTCAAAACGCGACCTTACTCTAAGGACACATAGTTCAAAATGCTACTAACGGTCGAAGCAGCCGTTAGGGCCGAGCGTGTGCTCGTGGTTGGAGCACACGGTGCACTTCTGCCCCTGGATGCCGGGCTTGCACACGCAGCGGCGGGTCATCTGCCCGCAATACTGGCGTCAAAACGCGACCTTACTCTAAGGACACATAGTTCAAAATGCTACTAACGGTCGAAGCAGCCGTTAGGGCCGAGCGTGTGCTCGTGGTTGGAGCACACGGTGCACTTCTGTCCCTGGATGCCGGGCTTGCACACGCAGCGGCCGGTCATCTGCTCGCAGTCTTCGCGAACTGAACCGAACGCCGAGCAGCCGCATGCTGGAACAAAATAACTTGGATAGTGCGGGAGGGCCTTTATATTTTGTAGGATGTTAATGTGGTACATGTGTAAATTCGGCACTGCACAGAAAACTCAATCATCATCATCATAATATCAGTCATGATGTCCACTGCTGCTGAACATAGACCTCCCGCAATTATTTCCATAATGACCGGTTTGTAGCCTTCCTGCTACCTTTATGAGGTCGTCGGACTCAAGACAGACAGAAGACTCAATATCATTATGAATTAATGCCAATATTTTATTCTGATGTTTACTGTAAAGTTTCAGCAAAATTAGTTCAGTAATTTCTGCTCAAGAGTAGCAAAGAAATATTTCGTGATTTATCCTCATAAACTTTCACGTACTAATAGAAACCCTACAAATAATATTATTAAGACTTTTTTTAAAACAAAACCTTCACCAGAGCCGTTTTCACCATCAATCCCTAATTTTTAAGTGACCCCTATGAAAACAAAATTCCTGTTACATATTTGTTGCCATATGGGTCACTTAAAAATTAGGAATTGGTGGTGAAAACGGGCATAAGTCATTCATAATTTATTTTGTGGTTTTAAACAGTGTCATAAAACTGGCCACTATTTTAATTTAATTTTACTCACGTATACACCCAGTATGTCCCGTCCCAATCCTCGGCAGTCCCCAATATCCAGGCTCACATCTATCACACTTCAGACCACCAACGCCCGGCCTACACACACACTGGCCGCTCTCGTCGCACTGCTCGGATACGGAACCCAGCCTATGGCACCCGCACTGCGAAGGGCACCCCACGCCGCCGGGCCCTCTCGCAGGAGTGACCCCGTCGGAGCAGCAGCCGTGCCACGACTCTTGGCACCCCTTGGTTTCGACTAGGCCTTTTTCTGGAACAAAAAGGTACCGTATATTACGTACTAAAGGTACGGTTAGTTGTTCTCTCTCAAAATAGATAAAAGAGAAAAAATACCTACAACTTTCTTTACACATTTTTGGAAGAACACTCAAAAATTCGACTGTAACACGAACATCGATTCATTTCAGTGTCATTTTAGAAAACATGCAGAAATTACTTCGAAACCAATTTTTGCAGCATCAAAACTTCTCTGTTGATGGTCAACATACCAATACACCATTAATATCTATGTACCTACTATCTGCCACAGTTCCAGCTACCCATTTCCATTTTTTCTCTCGCTCTCATCAAATGGTGATTCTTTGCGATAGAACAAGACAACATGACCAGAAATAGGTAGCTGGAACTGTGACCGATAGTGCCTCATAACCAAGAAAAACAAGAACAAAAGAAAGTACCTTTTCTGCAACACCTAGCAGCCTTTGCAGTATGATGACAGTAGCTGCCAACAGGACAGTCTTTCCGGTGAGGGCCCCCGCCGCAATCCAATGGACGCCCATCAGAGTCCATAACAGGCTCGTCATCGCCACACGGCCTGAACTGCAAAGAAATAACAGTCATGACCATGGAACATAAGCTATGGACAATGGCACATCAAAGGAAATATTAGAGCAAATGTCTGGTGTGCTGTCATCAATAACTCATGGCAAAAATAATCACACACAACATAACAAGCGCAGCCTTGGCAATTTTGGGTTGAAATGTCTTTATGGGCGCCATTTCGTAATCATTTCAAGGCCTTATCATCACATCATTATTTCAGCCAATGACAGTCCACATCTGTCCGTCAAGAACCATCACCAAGCTGCTGCCATCTATCTCTAAACCGTTTCCTCCAACTTTCATCGAGAGTTCTATGATTACATAGGTTTTATTAGTTCACAAAACTTTCTGGTCACATACCTCCAACCCTCGGCACAAAGGCAGCGGTCGCAGCCTCAAGTCTTCCTGTCGCCTGCAAGCTTCTAGCTTCATGTGGCACAGTGTAGGGTACAGTCGCAAGTCTGATGCGCACACTGGGGCTGACGACGCGGCCGCTGCCGCTGCTGCGGCGCAGTCGAATAAACAGGCACATCTGGTAAGAATAATGGGTTTTCAATTATTAGGATGACCAAGGTTTGCACAATGAATTAGATGAACAAATAACAGTAATAAACCACTTGCAGGTCCCCACAGAAATCCAGTAGGATACAAATCACATAATTAAGAAAGAGTATGTTTTGTCACTGGTAAATGACTCTTTCGAAAACCTGGATTTGACTAGCTTTATTCGCGCTCTGCTCTCTTGCACACACCGCGGTACTGGTTACCGGTTCGCTGAAGCTCTCCGCATCCTCCTCTTTGACGGCGCAAGTACACTATGCGGGAAATTGGTCGAGACGTAATAGTGTGAACACCATTTCGGTTACTTTCTCCTTCCCTCACCCGCGGATCGCCCATACTTCAGTGTGCGATCTAGCGCTTCATCTCGGTCAATTTTCCGCATTGTGTGCGCCATGAGGATTTCATTGCTGTCAACTATTCCATTGGACATAAGAATCAAAATACTCTTAGTGGACTGACCTGGGTTGTCCATTAGCGTCGACTGCGCAGGTGGCTTCATACGCGCACTGCACTCTTGCGCATACTGCTGTACTGGTTCCTGGCTCGCTGGAACTCTCAGCAGTCTCGTCTCCAGTGCGGATTTCATTGCTGTCCACTATTCTGACTGATTTGTTCGTTCCTGAAAGATAAAATTGAACATGAAATAATAGTCTAGTAGAGTCATAGACAATCGCAGGAAAAAGGGACAACAATCGAGAAGCGACGTGTATAGGTGGTTCTCTTCTCATGCGAATCTCACAGGCCGCTTTCTGCAGAGCGCATTCATACATAAAGGGCTACTTAGAGCACATCAGGTCTTCTATGTAGCAAATACATCATAACTAACCTGCAGTAGTATTGTCGTCAGCCGAATCAGCGCACTCCCCATAGTAAGCGACGTGTATAGGCGGTTCTTCTCTCATGCGAGCCTCACAGGCCGCTTTCTGCAGAGCACATTCGTGAACAAAGGTCTGCTTCGTATTGGAACACACTGGCTCCCTCTTTATTACAAATACATCATAACTAACCTGCAGTAGTATTCTCGTCAGCCGAATAAGCACACTCCCCATAGTAAGCGACGTGTATAGGCGGCTCTCCTCGCATGCGAGCCTCACAGGCAGCTTTCTGCAGAGCACATTCATGAACAAACGTCTGCTTCGTGTTGGAGCACACTGGCTCCCTCTTTATTATAAATATATCTTAACTAACCTGCAGTAGTATTCTCGTCGGCCGAATCAGCGCACTCTCCATAATAAGCGACATGTATAGGTGGTTCTCCTCTCAAGCGAGCCTCACAGGCCGCTGTCTGCAGGGCGCACTCATGCACGAAGGTCTAATTAGAGCACATCAGGTCTTCTATGTAGCAAATACAGCTTAACTAACCTGCAGTAGTATTGTCGTCAGCCGAATCAGCGCACTCCCCATAATAAGCGACATGTATAGGTGGTTCTCCTCTCATGCGAGCCTCACAGGCCGCTTTCTGCAAAGCACATTCATGGACGAACGTCTGTTTCGTGTTGGAGCACACTGGATCCCTCTTTATTACAAATACAGCTTAACTAACCTGCAGTAGTATTCTCGTCGGCCGAATCAGCGCACTCCCCGTAGTAAGCGACGTGTATATGCGGTTCTTCTCTCATTCGAGCCTCACAGGCCGCTTTCTGCAGAGCACATTCGTGAACAAACGTCTGCTTCGTGTTGGAGCACACTGGCTCCCTCTTTATTACAAATACATCATAACTAACCTACAGTAGTGTTCTCATCTGCCGAATCAGCGCACTCCCCGTAGTAAGCGACGTGTATAGGCAGCTGTCCTCTCATACGAGCCTCACAGGCCGCTGTCTGCAGGGCGCACTCATGCACGAAGGTCTAATTAGAGCACATCAGGTCTTCTATGTAACAAATACATGATAACTAACCTGCAGTAGTATTTTCATCAGCCGAATCAGCGCACTCGCCATAGTAAGCGACGTGTATAGGCGGTTCTCCTCTCATGCGAGCCTCACAGGCCGCTTTCTGCAGAGCACATTCGTGAACAAACGTCTGCTTCGTATTAGAACACACTGGCTCCCTCTATATTTTAATAAATTCATCATAACTAACCTGCAGTAGTATTCTCGTCAGTCGAATCAGCGCACTCGCCATAGTAAGCGACGTGTATAGGCGGCTCTCCTCTCATGCGAGCCTCACAGGCCGCTTTCTGCAGAGCACATTCGTGAACAAACGTCTGCTTCGTATTAGAACACACTGGCTCCCTCTCAGCATCGGCGCAAGGAGTAGCGCACGCGCAAGCGCCGCGCGCACACCACGTGCCGGCCGGGCATTGGATGCCGGCGCAGGATTCTGTGGAATGAACCTTATTTAGTGAGGATAGAGGTGATTTTTATAAATTTGGAACCTTTTTCGTAAAAAATAAAATTTGATGGCAATGCACACGCAACCGCTACATGCATACCAGCGCCAGGGCATTGGATGCTGGCGCAGGATTCTATGATAATCTTAAGGTAAAAGTGTTAAAGATATTTTTATTAGTTTGGAAAAAAAATCATAAGGTTCAAAATAGCAATAAGCTCGCCTTTTTGTACAGAACATTGTTGTGTGTGCAATAAAGTTTTTAAATAAATAAAATATGGTGAAAATAAAACAGCTCTCAGCAGATAAATGCTCGTCACTTTATGGTCTTATTGATTCGTTCGTTTCAACCAAATGACGTCCACTGCCGGACAAAGGCCTCCCCGAAGGATTTCCACAACGACCGTTCTTGCGCGCCCACATCCAGGCACCATGGTTTTATTTAGTCTGAGTATTTTCATACTATTATTGCTATGCAAAACACATCACTCACCGCAGGACCCCATATGCTTGATATGCAGCCTCCTCTTCTCGCGGCACGCTACGTCGCGTAATGCGCACACGCTGCTATACGTCTGGTTGTCGTTGCCACACACTTCTTCGGTCTCCTGGCAAAAACAAAACAATATCAATTACATACAATTTTATGTCAATATTCCAGAATCAATTCTTAACTTGGTCCTTAAATTCAAGAAAATTTATCAATGAGGCGGAAAATTAAGTAAATTATGTTTCCCAATGCTTACAGTGCCTTCTTCGCAGTGCTTGGGGCAGACGCAGCTCGCTTCCGAAACACCGTCGCTCTCGCAAACAGCGTAGAACTCGCACTTCTTGTTTTCGCAGCCGTCTGACGAAAAAAAATACGTTTTGAGAATCACAAATGGCACACACGGGCGCGAGCTCCTTGGAGCAGTTTAGCTCAGTACAGTACAGTCAGTACAAAGGTATGGGAACAGCACGGCAAGGTATTTTTTGTTACGTCAAATGTCAGCTAGACTTCAGTGGGTCTAGACAAAGTGCAAATTATTATCGCAAACCAGTCGAAAAGTGGTCGAAAAGCCCCTTTTTTGTATGGAGTTTTGACGGATTCGATTTTCGATTCGATCAAAAAGTGCGTTTTGTCTAGGGGGGCAGATATGTATGCTCTGTCACGTCATAATATGTCAAAATCACCCCTCCAGTGGGTCTAGACAAAGTGCAAATTATAATCGCAAAACAGTCGATAAGTGGTCGAAAAGCCCCTTTTTTGTATGGAGTTTTGACGGATTCGATTTTCGATTCGATCAAAAAGTGCGTTTTGTCTAGGGGGCCTGTGCCGCTCCCATACCTCAGGCACTGTCTGCGTTTGAGCGTCATTATGTCTTACTGCAGGGCCCGTCGTATAACACCTGCACGTCGCGGCGGTGCCTGGAAGACTCCAGCTGCAACTTGCAGCGGTTGCCGTACGAGATGCCGTAGGAGCCGCACACGGGAGCGAACTTGTTGGAGCAGCGCGGGCTAACAATAGTAGAGCTAATAATAATAGTTAAAGCGTCATCATGACTTACTGCAGGGCCCGTCGTATAAGACCTGCACGTCTCGGCGGTGCCTGCAAGCCTCCAGCTGCAGCTTGCAGCGGTTGCCGTACGATATCCCGTCGGAGCCGCACACGGGAGCAAATTCGTTGGAGCAGCGAGGGCAGCGACAAACGCCGCGCCCGCCCGTCGCTACGCACTCGCCGCCGTGGGGGCACACGCGGCCCGCGCAGACGCCGTTTGAACCTGGCAGTTAAAAATCATCTAGCAATAATTGTCAAAATGCATAGCATGGCTTCAGCCTGCCCTGTAGAGCCCGGAAAGTTTTAGTTACATATTGGCTGTCTTCTAAGAATTCTACATAACCTGCAGTATGGCTGCTCCAACGCAGCAAAAGCGCGTCTAACTGATGACTTTAGAAGGTACACCCTACCCTTGTTGTAGACTTCGTTCGTTTCCGCCAAATGACGTCTACGTCTGGACAAAGGCCTCCCCGAAGGCTACTGTTAGACTCTATGTAAGAAACCACTGATTCTAGAATAGATATAGGCTGTAGCATGGCTGTAGTCTTGAGTGAGAATTATGCCGCAGGCACAGCACGCGCCCCAATAGGTAGATAGTTCGCGGCCTAGCAAGCACGCGACGCGGCGCAGCTCGCACTCGCTGTCGTGCGTGCGCGCGTTGGTCCCACACACTGGCCCCAACACTCCACCGGCTTGCGACACCTGTACAGTAGTGCAAGGAGTCATACCGCAAGCGCCGGCGTGCAACACGCGTAGTTCGCGGCCTAGTAGACACGCGGCAGGCGCAGCTCGCAGTCGCAATCGTGCGTGCGCGCGTCGGATCTACACACTGGCCCCAACACTGCACCGGCTTGCGACGCCTGTAGTGTAAGGAGTCATACCGGCAAGGAGTCATATTGGAGTCATACCGCAAGCGCCGGCGTGAAGCGCGCGCAACTCGCGGCCTAGCAGACACGCGGCGCGGCGCAGCTCGCACTCGCTGTCGTGTGTGCGCGTTTCGGTCCCACACACTAGCTCCAACACTGCACCGGCTCGCGACACCTGTACAGTAGTGCAAGGAGTCATACCGCAAGCGCCGGCGCGCAGCGCGCGTAACTCGCGGTCTAGCAAGCACGAGGCGCGGCGCAGCTCGCACTCGCTGTCGTGTGTGCGCGCATCCGAGCCGTAACACTGCACCGGCTTGCGACACCTGTACAGTAGTGCAAGGAGTCATACCGCAAGCGCCGACGTGCAGCGCGCGCAGCTCGCGACCTAGCAAGCACGCGGCGCGGCGCAGCTCGCACTCACTGTCGTGCGTGCATGCGTTGGATCCGCACACAGGCCGCAGCGCCGGCTCGCGACGCCTGTAGTGCAAGGAGTCATACCGCAAGCGCCGGCGTGCAGCGCGCGCAGCTCGCGGCCTAGAAAACACGCGACACACTCGCTATCGTGTGTGCGTGGGTCGGAGTCGCAAACTGGCCGCAACACTGCACCGGCTCGCGACGCCTGTAGTGCAAGGAGTCATATTGGAGTCATACCGCAAGCGCCGGCGTGCAGCGCGCGCAACTCGCGGCCTAGCAGNAGCGAACTGGTTTTAGCAGCGCGGGCTAACAATAGTAGAGCTAATAATATAGTTCAAGCGTCATCATGACTTACTGCAGGGCCCGTCGTATAAGACCTGTAGGTCGCGGCGGTGCCTGCAAACCTCCAGCTGCAGCTTGCAGCGGTTGCCGTAGGATATCCCGTCGGAGCCGCACACGGGAGCGAACTCGTTGGAGCAGCGAAGGCTAACAATAGTAGGTAGAGCTAGCTAGTAATAATAGTTAAAGCGTCATCATGACTTACTGCAGGGCCCGTCGTATAAGACCTGCACGTCGCGGCGGTGCCTGCAAGCCTCCAGCTGCAGCTTGCAGCGGTTGCCGTACGATATCCCGTCGGAGCCGCACACGGGGGCGAACTCGTTGGAGCAGCGCGGGCTAACAATAGTAGAGCTAATAATAATAGTTAAAGCGTCATCATGACTCACTGCAGGGCCCGTCGTATAAGACCTGCACGTCTCGGCGGTGCCTGCAAGCCTCCAGCTGCAGCTTGCAGCGGTTGCCGTACGATATCCCGTCGGAGCCGCACACGGGAGCAAATTCGTTGGAGCAGCGAGGGCAGCGACAAACGCCGCGCCCGCCCGTCGCTACGCACTCGCCGCCGTGGGGGCACACGCGGCCCGCGCAGACGCCGTTTGAACCTAAAAGAGATTTTTTAATTATTGTAGCAAGGGAAATATAGGCAAAATGCTCATCATAAATTATATCCTCGCACTGCAGCAGCGCACTCCCTGCAATGTGTAACCATTTTGGCGACATCTATCGACGCGCAACTACAGACTGTGGCAGCCTTCAACCAATAGATGGCGTCGCGGTATCAGAGCTCTCTTCCCAGACAAGCATTATAAATAACCGAGATGGTAAACAACCGAACCTTGGTCCCCGAGCACAACACCCGCTCGAAAGGAAACAATTCCACCTTAGCTTCCTTATGTGGTTGATCATCAAATCCCACCCAATCCCAATGCAGCAAAGCTGAAGTGGTACATATCGCAGTGGTAGTGTAGTACTGTAGACTGGGTGTCCTACCTATCGCAGTGGTAGTGTAGTACTGTGTACAAGTCTCACTCAATGTGGGATACATTGAGTGAGACTTGAGACTTAGTGCTGTGTGAATCTAGGACTCTATCAGGCTGCAGCCTATAGTCATGCATGCGCGTATATAGCGAGGGGTTGGGTGGTCGGCGCCAATCCTAGAATAGTTGAATGCGCACTCCAGAAAATCTGAGAAAATGTCATACCGCAAGCGCCGGCGTGCTGCGCGCGCAGCTCGCGGCCTAGCAAGCACGCAGCGCGTCGCAGCTCGCACTCGCTGTCGTGCGTGCGTGCGTCGGATCCGCACACAGGCCGCAGCGCCGGCTCGCGACGCCTGCAGTGCAAGGAGTCATAATGGAGTCATACCGCAAGCGCCGGCGTGCATCGCGCGCAACTCGCGGCCTAGCAGACACGCGGCGCGGCGCAGCTCGGCCTCGATATCGTGCGTGCGCGCGTCGGAGCCGCACACTGGCCGCAACACTCCACCGGCTTGCGACGCCTAAGTGCAAGGAGTCATAATGGAGTCATACCGCAAGCGCCGGCGTGCAACACGCGTAGTTCGCGGCCTAGTAGACACGCGGCAGGCGCAGCTCGCACTCGCTGTCGTGCGTGCGCGCGTCGGATCTACACACTGGCCCCAACACTGCACCGGCTTGCGACGCCTGTAGTGCAAGGAGTCATATTGGAGTCATACCGCAAGCGCCGGCGTGCAGCGCGCGCAACTCGCGGCCTAGCAGACACGCGGCGCGGCGCAGCTCGCACTCGCTGTCGTGCGTGCGCGCGTCGGAGCCGCACACTGGCCGCAACACTCCACCGGCTTGCGACGCCTAAGTGCAAGGAGTCATAATGGAGTCATACCGCAGGCGCCGGCGTGCAGCGCGCGCAGTTCGCGGCCTAGCAAGCACGCGGCGCGGCGCAGCTCGCACTCGCTGTCGTGCGTGCGCGCGTCGGTCCCACACACTGGCTCCAACACTGCACCGGCTTGCGACACCTGTACAGTAGTGCAAGGAGTCATACCGCAAGCGCCGGCGTGCAGCGCGCGCAGCTCGCGGCCTAGAAGACACGCGACACACTCGCTATCGTGCGTGCGCGCGTTGGTCCCACACACTGGCCCCAACACTCCACCGGCTTGCGACGCCTGTAGTGCAAGGAGTCCTAATGGAGTCATACCGCAAGCGCCGGCGTGCAGCGCGCGCAGCTCGCGGTCTAGCAGACACGCGGCGCGGCGCAGTTTGCACTCGCCATCGTGCGTGCGCGCGTCGGTCCCACACACTGGCCGCAACACTGCACCGGCTTGCGACACCTGTACAGTAGTGCAAGGAGTCATACCGCAAGCGCCGGCGTGCAGCGCGCGCAGCTCGCGGCCTAGCAAGCACGCAGCGCGTCGCAGCTCGCACTCGCTGTCGTGCGTGCGCGCGTCGGAGCCGCACACGGGCCGCAGCACCGGCTCGCAGGCCGGGGGGCAGGCGCAGACCGCGCCCCCGCCCTCCACGCGGCACTCAGCGCCGTGGCGGCATTCCACCTCCGCGCACGGGTTTACCCCTATGATAAAATACTTGCTTGTAAACCAAATAAACTATTATGAAGATTAAATTCCCTATTCTTCTTGTTACAGTCAACTTCTTCCCATATTCCACAGCGCCGTGACGGCATTCTACCTGCGTGCACGGGTTTACCCCTACGATAAAGTCGGTATTATACTTGCTAGTAATCAAATAAGCTACGATGAAGAATCTCCTACTCTTTTTGTTACAGTCAACTTTTACCAATATTCCACAGCGCCGTGGCGGCATTCACCCTCCGCGCACGGGTTTACCCCTACGATAAAGTCGGTATTATACTGCTAGTAATCTAATAAGATATTGTGAAGATTCCCTATTCTTCTTGTTACAGTCAACTTCTACCCATATTCCACAGCGCCGTGGCGGCATTCCACCTGCGTGCACGGGTTTACCCCCACGATAGTCGGTATTATACTGCAAGTAATCTAATAAGATATTATGAAGATTCCCTATTCTTCTTGTTACAGTCAACTTCTACCCATATTCCACAGCGCCGTGGCGGCATTCCACCTGCGTGCACGGGTTTACCCCCACGATAGTCGGTATTATACTTGCAAGTAGCCCAATATTTAAAAATCTTCTAGTCTTCTTGTTACGGTCAACTACTATCTTCCACTTTACATTAACAGCAGGATAGATTAAAAACGGCAAACAAAAAATATTATTTTTGGCGCCCAACATGGTGGAGATAGAAACTTTTATTTTAACAAGCTCAATGTTGCAGTGAGGGTTTTAACTAAGGGGTCATCCATAAAGTACGTCACACGTAAAGAGGGGGGGAGGGGGTTGACAAAGTGTGACATGGTGTGACAAGGGGTGGGAGGGGTCCTAAGTTTCGTGACATCACATTTCAATTGTTTGAAATATTTGATATAATGTTGATTTCATAAAAAAAAATACTTAATTTAAATGGAAATAAGACTAATTTCGGAACTGCTGTTAATTTAATAATTTTCGATGTGAAATTGCAAAACATGTTACGTCNCAAGCCCTAGTCGGAGCCGCACACAGGCTCCAACACTCCACCAGCTTGCGACACCAGTACAGTAGTGCAAGGAGTCATACCGCAAGCGCCGGCGTGCAGCGCGCGCAGCTCGCGGCCTAGCAAGCACGCGGCGCGGCGCAGCTCGCACTCGCTGTCGTGCGTGCATGCGTCGGATCCGCACACAGGCCGCAGCGCCGGCTCGCGACCCCTGTAGTGCAAGGAGTCATACCGCAAGCGCCGGCGTGCAGCGCGCGCAGCTCGCGGCCTAGCAAACACGCAGCGCGTCGTAGCTCGCACTCGCTGTCGTGCGTGCGTGCGTCGGATCCGCACACAGGCCGCAGCGCCGGCTCGCGACGCCTGTAGTGCAAGGAGACATACCGCAAGCGCCGGCGTGCAGCGCGCGCAGCTCGCGTCCTAGCAAACACGCAGCGCGTCGCAGCTCGCACTCGCTGTCGTGCGTGCGGGCGTCGGTCCCACACACTAGCCCCAACACTGCACCAGCTTGCGACACCTGTACAGTAGTGCAAGGAGTCATACCGCAAGCGCCGGCGTGCAGCGCGCGCAACTCGCGGCCTAGCAGGCACGCAGCACGTCGCAGATCGCACTCGCTGTCGTGAGTGCGCGCGTCGGAGCCGCACACGGGCCGCAGCACCAGCTCGCGACGCCTGTAGTGCAAGGAGTCATAATGGAGTCATACCGCAAGCGCCGGCGTGCAGCGCGCGCAGTTCGCGGCCTAGCAAGCACGCGGCGCGGCGCAGCTCGCACTCGCTGTCGTGCGTGCGCGCGTCTGAGCCGCACACGGGCCGCAGCACCGGCTCGCAGGCCGGGGGGCAGGCGCAGACCGCGCCACCGCCCTCCACGCGGCACTCAGCGCCGTGACGGCATTCCACCTCCGCGCACGGGTTTACCCCTACAATAAGTAAATACTTGCTAGTAATCAAATAAGCTATGATCTTTTTGTTACAGTCAACTTTTACCAATATTCCACAGCGCCGTGGCGGCATTCACCCTCCGCGCACGGGTTTACCCCTACGATAAAGTCGGTATTATACTGCAAGTAATCTAATAAGATATTATGAAGATTCCCTATTCTTCTTGTTACAGTCAACTTCTACCCATATTCCACAGCGCCGTGGCGGCATTCCACCTGCGTGCACGGGTTTACCCCCACCATAGTCGGTATTATACTTGCAAGTAGCCCAATATTGATCAAAAATCTTCTAGTCTTCTTATTACGGTCACGTACTATCTTCCACTTTACATTAACAGTAGGATAGATAAAAAACAGGAAACACAAAAAAAAAATATTTTTTGGCACCCGACAATAAAAGTTTCTCTCTCCACCATGTTGGTGGAGAGAGAAACTTTTATTTTAACAAGCTCAATGTTGCAGTGAAGATTTTAACTTCAACTGTTTTTAGGGGTTCTAATAAAAACATACGTATTTTCGACAGACAAAGACAAAGTCAAAGTCAAAGTTTTTTATTCAGTACTTAAGGCCCTTTCCAGGACGCATAAACACGTCCCAAAAATAGCACCACCACTTCATGACAACATATATGGGCTGGTACTGAGAAGGAGTGACGAAAGAAACTTAGGAAAACTTCGGTTATGTTATGATCAACTTTACACTTTTTACATCAACAGAAAGATTTAAAACGACACGAAAAAAGTTGGCGCCGAACGTGTGACTGGCAACCTTTATTTTACACTTATTAAAAAAAGGTACCATACCTGAACTGCACTGCCCTTTGAATATGATCTTCAACTGTTTCCTGGCGCGACAGGACTCGCGGTGCATTTGGCACTCGTTGGAGTAGGTCTTCCCGTCGGAAGCGCAGACGGGCGAGAACTCGAGGGGACAGGGCTCGGCGCAACGGCAAGATGGCGCCCGGCGCTCGTCTAGTTGGCACACTTCTGGGTCTGGGCAGGTCACTCCAGCGCAGGGGTCTAAGAAAAATCTAAGCTGTATTGTACCTATTCTTATCTTAACAATTTAAAAGAAATAGAGCACTAAGAAATTAGTAGGAACTGTAGGAAGGGAACGACCACACAATAAGGTGGACCGTCAACCTCATAAAGGTAGCAGAAAGAAGCTCGATGCAGGCCGCTACCGATCAGGTCATTATGGAAATCATTGGGGGAGGCCTATGTACAGTCAGCGTAAAATACTTCGTGACACCCAAAGTAGCCAAAAAATCCGCAACACGTCTTTGTTACAATTGGAATAAGGTTGCGTTGTCAACTTTTTGGGTCACTTTGGGTGTCACGAAATATTTGACGCTTACTGTTTTTCTTGATCGCGCAGTAACAGCACTAAGAAATTAGTGGGAAGGGAACGACCACACAATAAGGTGGACCGTCAACCTCATAAAGGTAGCAGAAAGAAGCTCGATGCAGGCCGCTACCGATCAGGACATTATGGAAATCATTGGGNGAAATTCGTGTGACGTACTTTATGGATGACCCTAACAACTGTTTTTAGACGTTCGATTCTAATAAAACCATACGTATTTTCGACAGATAAAGTTTAAGTCTTTATTCAGTAGGTACTTAGGCCCTTTCCAGGACGCATAAACATGTCCCAAAAATAGCACCACCACTTCATGACAACATATATGGGCTGGTACTGAGAAGGAGTGACGAAAGAAACTTAGGAAAACTTCGGTTATGTTGTGATCAACTTTCCACTTTTTACATCAACAGAAAGATTTAAAACGGCTCTAAAAAAGTTGGCGCCCAACGTGTGGCTGGCAACCTTTATTTTATAGGTACTTATTAAAAAAAGGTACCATACCTGAACTGCACTGCCCTTTGAATATGATCTTCAACTGTTTCCTGGCGCGACAGGACTCGCGGTGCATTTGGCACTCGTTGGAGTAGGTCTTCCCGTCGGAAGCGCAGACGGGCGAGAACTCGAGAGGACAGGGCTCGGCGCAGCGACAAGATGGCGCCCGGCGCTCGTCTAGTTGGCACACTTCTGGGTCTGGGCAGGTCACTCCAGCGCAGGGGTCTAAGAAAAATCTTAGCTGTATTTTATTCTTATTTACGTTTTCAAAAAATAAAACTGAGCACCGAGAAATTAGTGGGATGTAGGACATACGAGGATAAGAGGTGGACCGTCAACCTCATAAAGGTAGCAGGAAGGCGCTGGATACAGTCCGCTACCGATCAGGTCATTATGGTTATCATTGGGGGAGGCTTATGTACAGTCAACGTAAAATACTTCGTGACACCCAAAGTGGCTAAAAAATCCGCAACACGTCTTTGTTACAATTGGAATAAGGTTGCGTTGTCAACTTTTTGGGTCACTTTGGGTGTCACGAAATATTTGACGCTGACTGTTTTTCTTGATCGCGCAGTAACGCACCATCCAAACTTAGCCTAAGAGTCACATGAGTAAAACAAACAAGAAACTCACCACACTTCCCATAATATTTGAACGTAATATTAGTGTTGGAGTCGCAAGCAGCTCTGCGCATCTCACATTCGCCGGGGTAGTCCCTGGCGTCGCTTGCGCACAGAGGCCTGGAGCCCTCGTGGTCTCCGTAGCTGGGACAGGACGTGGGACACTCGCAGTTGTATGCGTGGCCATCGGGGGTCGGCCGGCAGAGCGCGCCCGGCCCGCAGGACACGCCGCGACAAGGGTCTGGGACGTCTGGTGGGCAACAATTAGGAAGATATCAAAGAAAAAGACGTTACTTAACTAGGAATCGCTTGGCCTGCGACTAAAAATGTCTGTTTAGTGACAAATCAAATAGTTTCTTTCTTTCGAATGTGATACTACAGTCGGCGAAAACCGCCGCGGCGCATATCGCAAATGGTCGCTTAATAACTGGCGCTCTTCTAGAAGATCCCTCTTATATTTCGACAACAATTTCGATAAACAGTAGGAAATAAATATAATGTTATCCATTCCCATCAGATTAGTACGAGTATGTTTAAAAAATTATGCTACACGTTGGGCGCCAAAATTTGTCACTATTATTGTGCGGAAAATTAAAGGGATATAAGATATAAATAATGTCGTACACATTCACCACCGGGAAAAAGACCGCAGAACCTTTCTCCATCTGCACACGCCAAACACTAAATATGTAATGCTATATGTATAGTAAACTATGACTATCTTACATGCTGGGGAAGAGATAGCACCCGCTGGTGGGACAAAGTCTTACCACTGGAAGGAAGATAGTAGCACCCACCGGTGGGAAAGTCTTACCGCTAGGGCAGAGATAACACCCGCTTGGGGACAAATTCTTACCACTAGGGAAGAGATAGCACCTGCTGGTGGGACAGTCTTACCACTGGGGAAGAGATAGCACCCGCTGGTGGCTGCCACTAGCAACGCCAGCTGTGCCAGCCGGGCGGGCAGCATGGCGCGGCCGGGCCGCCGCCTCCGAGCCCCTTTACCACCATCACACATCGTACCCCGGGAGACAGCCCATTGCTGTAGGAGAAACGATCCGTCAATATTCATTTCAAGGTTGTTAAAAAACATNACGTCTTTGTTACAATTGGAATAAGGTTGCGTTGTCAACTTTTTGGGTCACTTTGGGTGTCACGAAATATTTGACGCTTACTGTTTTTCTTGATCGCGCAGTAACAGCACTAAGAAATTAGTGGGAAGGGAACGACCACACAATAAGGTGGACCGTCAACCTCATAAAGGTAGCAGAAAGAAGCTCGATGCAGGCCGCTACCGATCAGGACATTATGGAAATCATTGGGGGAGGCCTATGTACAGTCAGCGTAAAATACTTCGTAACACCCAAAGTAGCCAAAAAATCCGCAACACGTCTTTGTTACAATTGGAATAAGGTTGCGTTGTCAACTTTTTGGGTCACTTTGGGTGTCACGAAATATTTGACGCTTACTGTTTTTCTTGATCGCGCAGTAACGCATCATCTAAACTTAGCATGAATATAACTCACCACACTTCCCATAATATTTGAACGTAATATTAGTGTTGGAGTCGCAAGCAGCTCTGCGCATCTCACATTCGCCGGGGTAGTCCCTGGCGTCGCTTGCGCACAGAGGTCTGGAGCCCTCGTGGTCTCCGTAGCTGGGACAGGACGTGGGACACTCGCAGTTGTATGCGTGGCCATCGGGGGTCGGCCGGCAGAGCGCGCCCGGCCCGCAAGACACGCCGCGACAAGGGTCTGGGACGTCTGGTCAACAATTAGGAATATCTAAAAAATAAAGTCTAAGATCTAGACGAACACTGCGCTTGGCCCGCACCTAACAGTTTCTATTTATTTAGCAGGCGGTCGCTAACTAACTGGCGCTCGTCTAGAACATCCCGCTAATTATATTCAGCCAACAATTTATCGGTAGACCACAGGTACATTATTTGTTTACCGCTAAACAGCTTTCCAAGTAGGTATTTAAAATAGGCACCTAATCCTAAACAAAATGTTATCTTTCCATCAGACAAGTATTTAAATAATCACTTTACACGTTGGGCGCGTGTCCTACACGTTGGGCACCAGTCCTGTAACACGCTGGGCGCAAGACTTACTCGTTGGGCGCCAGTCCTATATTAACCACTATTAAGTATTGTGTGGAAAATTAAAGGGATATAAATAATTTCGTAAACATTGACCACCGGGAAAAAGACCGCAGAAGACCTTTCTACATAGCACTGCACACACCATACACTAAACATGTAGTGCTACGATACTAATGACTGTCTTGCCGCTAGGGCAGAGATAGCATCCGCTGGTGGGACAGTCTTACCACTGGGGAGGAGATAGTAACCGCTGGTGGGACAAAGTCTTACCACTGGGGAAGAGATACTCGTAGCATCCGCTGGTAGAACAAAGTCTTACCACTGGGGAAGAGATAGCACCCGCTGGTGGCTGCCACTAGCAACGCCAGCTGTGCCAGCCGGGCGGGCAGCATGGCGCGGCCGGGCCGCCGCCTCCGAGCCCCTTTACCACCATCACACATCGTACCCCGGGAGACTGCCCATTGCTGTAGAAGAAACGATCCGTCAATATTCATTTCAAGGTTGTTAAAAAACATAGTTTGGTTCACTTATACATGTGACACAAAAATGTAGATATTTGCTATGTATACTATTACCTTCATAATTAATTAGCAGTGTACGATTATAATTAATTAATTATTGAATTATTTCGTCAGCTGATCAATCGAACGAATAGCTACGAAATCTTTACAATATGCCAGGCCAAATCAAAACAAACACGAATCAAAGCAATAAATTGATTCTAAGTTTCATTTTGTTGACTGAATTTCGGGAAGGCTAGTTAATAAAGCCATAGAACGACATCCGCAGTCAAGTAAAAATATCAAATGATAGCTAATCCCGATCGATAAAAGCATACAGGTGTCATAGGATTGTAAATTAAATTATGTGCATAGAATGGTGTAAGTACCAAATTAGAAGCAAAAGTCGATAAAGTAAACACTTACCTAACGCACATCCAGATTTAAGCACAACTTCAAAGTAATTTAACTCGATACCACAAAGGTGCAACAGTGTTCACACAATAAATAATAGGGTAAAATAGAGATTTATTGGAAACTTCCCACCCCAGAGTCGGGGGGTAACTGTTCTGCCGTCGGGACGCATTTGTCTGAATGAACCACTTCGCACATGCGCGTTAAAAATCTTTAAAATATAAGCCGACCTTTTCATAGAAGAGTGGAATGCGGTCCTTTGTGCGAGGACGAATAATTTAAATTGATACGTGTAGCTAGCAAGTAGATAAGTTACTTACACAACAGATTAAACATTTCTAAAAGCTTTCTACTTCCCGGTAAAAACGTTTCATGTTATTATGAATAAGTACCTAAGTGCTGTTTTAAGTATCACCTTAATTTGTTTAGAATTATCTAATCATTAAGTATGGATTTTAGAAACTACCTAGGGTGACGGCACCAGTAATGGACACGGCACCAATTATGGACATTTTTTTCGTTGATCGAATTTATTAAGCAACTGTCGCAACATTTTGAGCTGGCAACACTAAAATCACAATCAATAGACGTTTGGGCTATCATATTGACACACGTCACCAAAATCGGCCACTTTTTTTTAAGATAGCTGCGAAGTGAAATCTCGTTGCGCGCGGTGGTCATGAAAATCCGTTTTTACTATTGAAAACGTTAAGGAAGTGAGTACATATTTGTGCATGGTGCTATCTTGTGTTGTGTTATAATGAGATTTGATGTTATTTTTACTGAATAATAATAAATAGCAAGTAAATTGAGCTAAGTTAAAAATGTCTTATCACAACCATAAGTTTTTTCTGGGGTTTGTTCATTACTGGATTCGATATTTTATGAAATTCAGTAATGGACAAGTGTCCATGCTTAAGTTTTTAATTTATTTTTTAGTTTATTGTATTAAATGATTTAATTTGATGCACTAAACATTTGGGTTGAGTTGATATTGTAATTGCTCTTTATTTTCCAATGATGGACGATGTCCATAACTGGGTATTTTTAACTGTCCATAATTGGGTTCTTTGTTTTGTCTTAGATGGCACCAAAACAAAATTACACCCCCAAACAAATGGGGAGAGACTGTAAAGGATGGGGGAAGAGATAAGCACGGCTGCCCTCGGGTTTGATGTTCCTCGAATAACCTGGGTTACCTCCGCCATATCGAATAACAAATGATCGAAAGTAAAAATATCAAACACGTTTCATCGAAAGCTCAAAACATCGAACGATTAAAATATAGAATTTACAAAATGATCGAAATAATCTTCAAAAGATGTCAAAGTCAAAAAGTCAAAGTCAAAATTTCTTTATTTGTTTAGACTAATAAATAGTTCTTACAAATCGTCATAAAATATGCTCTTAAGGAGCCTCTACATGTCTCATAATCTTTTTACCCTACCAGCGCTTCGAGACCATCATTTGGCAAGTGCTGAGAAGAAGCGCCGCAACAAACTCAGTCACCACTGTCTGCCGGTTAATATAAATAAATAGAAATAGTAGTAGTAGGTACNGTTTCAGAGTCAAGGTAAGCATCCTAATTGTAAGCATAATAACTAATATTAATAAATATTTTTAGTTATAAAAACAATAAATTTATTTCATTCCCAAAATATTTAATAAAATATAGGTAGAACCAAGAGGAAGTCACTAGTCAAGAACCAAAAATAAACCAAAACGGACAATGGTAACTATTTTACCACCAATATTTAATAATTTGTAGTCATGAATGGATAATGGTAAATTATTTACCACCCAAAAAACTACCCCTTCCCCTATTTTTTTATAAATTTTGATCAAAAATATGAAATAAGTGACCCACAATTACCCAAAATCCACTTCAACTTTGTAAAAAAAATGCATACCAGCTCGCGTTTGAATAAGGGTTAAGTATCACCTTAATTTATTTAGAATTATCTAATCATTTAAGTATGGATTTTAGAAACTACCTACCTACTTATTGCGTAGGTATCGATTTTTTTTCCAAAATTAAATGAGAAACGAAATAAGGGCTCTTACACATTAACGAGACAAAGAGAATTTGCAACATTAGTCAAAAAACAAAATGTTACAATTCATTTTTTAATAAAAATTGTGGTGCATACTGTTCGGTACTAACCTTTATATTAATGTTTTACGGCGTTTTAAATCAAAGGTCATCTTTAATTTACTATGTCAAATAGACCTGAGCCCCGATTACGGTAATTTTTAACGTCAACAATCCAGACACGCTTCTCGATTCTGCGATACGATTGGTCGTTCAACAGCGTACGTCAGCTGTTTTGACCAATCGTATCGCAGAATCAGAAACGCGTCTGGATTGCAGACGTTAAAAGTTACCGTAATCGGGGCTCTGAACAATATCATTCACTTTTTGCATTGTCCTCCTGCTTACGAAAACGTTCATCTCCTCCTTCAGTACTCCTTTTAGATTTGTTACTCTCTCTACCAGCTTGGAACAATTGGAAACTCGATTTGACTAAAATTCCCTTGTCTGAGGAACTTTTTCTTCTCTTAACTAACATAATGTAACAGTGCTGTGCCAATGGCAGCGCGCCGTTATCCCACACTGGTAAAAAAAAGAAAGTCGTGAGATAAAATCAGGAATAAAAAGGATGTTACAATATAAAATAAAACAGGGTATTTGTAATAATACACAATATTCAACTTTAATATGTTTATTATCATGGTATATACCATTAAGACGATCCACTCTTATTACATTCAATCNACCTACTTATTGCGTAGGTATCGAATTTTTTTTTTCTCAACGAATAAGATAAATAATATTATGCTCCGAAACAAATGTCGATTTGTACAAAATAGGAGTCTGAATTATTTTATTAAACATTCCAAAAGTGGTCGAAAGTGGAAAAGTGGTCGAAAAGCCCCTTTTTAGTATGGAATTTGACGGATTCGATTTTCGATTCGATCAAAAAGTGCGTTTTGTCTAGGGGGGCAGCTTAATTTAGCAGAAACACTTGCCTATCGGGCAGGACTTACGTTATAACAAAATTAAAATGAGAAACGAAATAAGGGCTCTCACACATTAACGAGACAGAGAATTTGCAACATTAGTCAAAAAACAAAATGTTACAATTCATTTTATAAAATAAAAATTGTGGTGCATACTGTTTGGTACTAACCTTTATATTAATGTTTTCAAATCAAAGGTCATCTTTAATTTACTATGTCAAATAGAACAATATCATTCACTTTTTGCATTGTCCTCCTGCTTACGAAAACGTTCATCTCCTCCTTCAGATTTGTTACTCTCTCTACCAGCTTGGAACATTTGGAAACATGAAATCGATTTGACTAAAAATCCCTTGTATCTGAGGAACTTTTTCTTCTCATAACTAACATAATGTAACAGTGCTGTGCCAAAATGGCAGCGCGCCGCGGCGGCGCCGTTATCCCACACTGGTAAAAAAAAAAAAAAGTCGTGAGATAAAATCAGGAATAAAAAGGATGTTACAATATAAAATAAAACAGGGTATTTGTAATAATACACAATATTCAACTTTAATATGTTTATTATCATGGTATATACCATTAAGACGATCCACTCTTATTACATTCAATCGCATGTAACAGAGAATAAGACTTTACATAATGTATAAAAATAGGACTGTATGAGCCCTGCATGACTCAGAAATGCACATAGAATGAGAAATTAATGCACAAATCAAACGCTCTTTCCCGTACACTGCTAAAATGCAATGACAAATGTATGTGCCCCTCTCTTTAAAGCTATACACAATTTTTTAAATCGCACATGATTTTTGAATTATATGCATACTAACAATTGCTTTTGTACATTTACTATGAACTATGAATATTATCACCAGTGTTTCTGTCAAATTAAATGTCTGTTAATTACATTGTGAGGCATCAAATAAATAGAAAAAAAAATCAGATTACAGATAAAAAAAATATTATTTAGTACCGGTAAAATCGGCAACAAAATTGAAACAATATAAAAATTAATGGTATTTGTCTAAATTCTGTACAATTAACAATCAATCGTCGACAGATTTGGTAATAAATAAATTTACTATACAGTCTCACTTATAAAACACAGTCACTAGTTAACGTCTCTAGTTTATATCGATGCGCTTATATTATCACATAGATAAAAACACAGCACTATTTTGTCACTTACACTTTACAGTTTTCACAGGCCAGTGTCGACGCGGAAAGAGATCCTATCGCTATTTACAGTAAGATTACATTTATTTACAAGCCCCTGGACCTTTGGGGGTTTACGTGGGCGGTGCGCGTCTATCATAGTCGCGCCTGTAGACCTCACGCTCGTAGTCCCGCTCGTCATACTGGTAGTCTGACGGCGGGTAGCCACGCCAGTCATCGGGATAGGGCCGTACAGGCGGGAAGCCCATGCCGCTGGGCATTGCGGCGCCTTCGTAGTACCCGCTGTACGGGCCGGCCATCGCGCCGAAGCCGCTGTACCGACTGAAATAAAGGTCGGATTTTAAAACATGATCAAAGTTAAAGCTTGTTAATCTGTCTTTTATCAGTCGGCATTTAGATCTGATCAACGACACCCTATCAAGTATTACATAAAAGTATTAAATCTCGACGACAATCAATGTTAATTAACGCTACATAATCTTTAAACGAAGATAATCATGACGTCTTATTATGGATATAGATTATGATAAATTATTCTTGACCACACAGCTTAGTCCCACAGACTTGACAATTAAATTGTATGTGCGGGGCACAAGCCCGCGATACCAAGCCATGCGGCCGTCGATAGTGGGACACAATAAGAAATACTTATTTAGGTAATATCTAGTGTAAGTACCTCCTCTTATCGTGCGGGCGCGCGTTCCGGTCGCCGCGGTACTGGCGCGGGCCGGGGTAGGCGGGCGGCGTCCAGCCCGGGTGCGCCGGGTGCTCCGCGTGCAGCGCCGTGGCGTGCGGCATCGAGTACGGAGCCCGGGCGCGCGGCCCGCCCACGCCGCCGCTGTCCCGCCGCGTCCGCGACCGCTCCCGCACCCGCTCGCGATCCCGATCCCGCTCCCGGTCCCGATCCCGCTCTCGATCCCGCTCCCGGTCCCGCTCCCGATCCCGGTCCCGCTCCGACCGGCTCCGAGAACTGTACATCAAATCGTCCCGCTTCAGGCTGCTATCCCTATCCTTGCGATCCTTGTGTTTGTGTTTATGTCTGCTGGGATGGAAGAAGCGATATGGTGGTGAGCATACATGGAGAGGTTAGCGAAGATGAAGAACGCTAAATAATGTTAAACAAAGAGAAGAAGCGGGCAAGCGAGTGACGTGATTATTTATGAAGTATTTTTGATATCTAGGTTAATGGTTATTTAACTGCATAAGTTATCTACTCATACAAATATAATTGAGGATGTTATACGAAGGAGTGATAAACTATCAGTTTTAAAACTAACATAAGTTATTATTCATTACTTTGTTGTTAACTAAGTCCAAAACCCTCCAATATTTACCTCTCGTGTCTTTTGTTTTCGCTAGGCTCGGGATCACATTCTCCATCTTCTAACTTCCTCTTTATTCCTGATGAGTGAGGAGTTTTATCATTTGCTTTGTCTGATTTTTCTTTATCAACTTTGGATCTTTCTTTTCTATCTTTCTTCTCATTGGATTCATCATGTTTTACATCTCTCTTCGCATGTTTCACATGATTATTTGAGTTGTGATGGTTTTTATTATTAGCCTAAAAATGTGCAATGTTTATTAGAGTCCATTTTCATATAAATACATGAAATAATTTCGAAATATAAAACTGGAAACACATACCTTTACATTTTCCTTATGTTTACCACCTTTTTTATTGTCAGTTTTCTTGAGACCATACTTATACAATTTATACAATTGTTTAGCATCAAAATTGGTGAATTTTGATACAAAATACCAGAGATTACTTCTCCATTCGACCTTCTTCTCGGGGTCAGGATAAGCTTCAAGGCATATGTCTATTTGGGAACCTATTTGCGTTAGACACGTCCGCGTTCTAGTGACCTGTTCAGACTCTGACAAGTTCTGATCAGGATTATCTAGTGCTCTAAGAGCTTTTTTGACAGGCCTCATTTTCTCCTTGCACTGGAAAGCAAATTAGGTTTTAGTAATTACACTTACACAACACTTAAATATTGTTTAGATATTCAATGACGGCCAGTATTGTAAAAATAGAGCAATAAATTATTTTTACCTCTTCAAATACAGATGGATCGAGATCCCCCAAAACCTCCAAGGCTCTGGGCTCGTTATTGGCAGTGAAGTGCATTGGACCCGCCGGCTTTTTCCGACCTTTTACTTTATCACCTTTCGATCGTCCCTTTCCATCTTTTTTTGTGCGATTCTTGAAGTTTTCTTTTTTGTCATTGGAAGTTTCATCGTGTGTAGATATGTCATCTAATTTTAACTTACCCTGCAAAATAATACAGAAAGTCAGCATCAATTTGTTAAGGATATGAAAAAGAAATTGTTTAAAAAATGTTTGTGAACGAACCTTATCTTTATCATTCTTCACACCCTTATTATTAGCTTTCTTATCATCCCCTGAACTCATATCATCTTCAATGATATCTTTTGTTACAGGTTCTTTGGTGCCGCGTTTGACTCTTGGTTTTCTCTGTTTCTGTTTGCCATTCTTCTGGTCTAATAATTTCTTAATTAATTTCAATAAATATTCTGCTCTAGACTGCAAATGCTTTGCTTGCGGCTTCTTGTCTTCATTGGTAAGAATTTTATCACCTATCTCAAACGATGAATCCATTTTGATGGCCTCCCAAGAACCCATACCATACTGATAAATACCAGCAAGTAATTTGGAATCGTCGGCGACACCCCATTCAACATCAAAGTTAGCTGGTCTCGTTCTAAAAGAAAAATAGGATATTGATTACTTCTGGACGCGATAATTTGGGAAAAATATGTGTACAGCAACTTGGGTAAGTACTACATTATTTACCTGAAATCCAACTGCCATTTTAACCTTTCTTCTTTCGTCTGAGGTAAGAAGTTATCTAGTGGTGCCAACTCTTCTAAACAGGCGGACAATGTCTTAGCATTAACAGGTACTCCTCCAAGTTTGAATGTCTTCCTGGTATTTTTGCGACCCTCATTTTGTTCAGCTAAAAATAAAATTAGTAATTAATAAAAAATATTTAACATAAAAAATAGACCGTAAGATGCGAGGCATAAAGTATTTATTTGATACTAACCTACTGCCTCCGAAGGATCATTGAGCACAGCCCTGCACCGCTCCTCGAGGATTTCTCCGAGTCGCTTCAGCTCAGCCAACGGCTTTTCTTGTAGCTCTGCGTCACACGCTATGCTATCCAAATGCTTCAACGGTGCAGAGAACTTCTTGTAGCTCTTGACGAATCTTCGAATCTAAACAAAAAATAATAAAATAAGTTGATTTACGCGATGATGATTTAATAATAAATATTTATTTACACTTTTACACACTATGACCGTCAAGTAACTGGAAGTAAGAAATTAGATCGCAATGAGGCATCCAAGAAAGTGTGCGAATTATGAGCCATTGTAACATTGAGCTACACAAGTTCATCACTCACTTTCTGATTCCAAGAAACAAAATTCCAAATAATAACATTTCATTGAACAATACCATTGGCTTTGAGTCTGATGACAGCAAGTCAGAGATGACAATAAAATCAGTGTCTCTTTTATAAACCCATGATAAAATATGGCCATTGATTCCAGTGAAACACGCTTATCAAGTTGGCAGCCTGCAGTATGTATGTCAACGTGAAATTGTGAACTCTGTCGATGATTGTAAACTAACAGTGGGTTAGGTTAGGTTAGATTGTAATTTAACTACGTCAGATTATAATCTGACGGAATTCACAATTTTACGGTGACATGTATAAGTCAAAAAATATTTATTTGCATGGACTACTAAAAATAGTGCTTACAAGTAAGTAAGCCCGAAGAAAGCCTTCAAGAGTCACAGTTTTGCAAATACAGGGTGGAAACGATAAGTGATCTCACCCGATTATTTCTAAACTATACAAGATATCGAAAAACTGGTTACTGATCCTGAAAGTGCTTCACGAGCTCTTTCAAACGGTGCTAATAATAGGTTTCAGAATACACTGGAACTATCCGAAAATTCAGTGTTTTCAGCTTCCATACATTTGGTAAAGTTACATAATTTTAAAAACTACACAAGATATCGTAAAACTGGTTACTGATCCTAAAAGTGCTTCACGAGCTCTATCCAACGGTATCAATATCAAGTTACAGAATAAACTGGATCTATCCTAAAATTCAATGTTTCCGTCTTCCATACATTTAGTACTATCACAGTCATGGCATTCATCTCTTGATAATTTTATAGCAAGTAAAGCCTGAAACTTATGTTTTTCACTAATAATTTTAAATAAGATGCAAGTTACGAGTTTATTTAACCGACATTTTAAGTTTATTAATTAACAAAAAATAAATTACACTTCTAATAATGTGTCGTCGGCATACATTTAGTATGGAAGCTGGAAACATTGAATTTTGGGATAGTTCCAGTTTATTCTGTAACCTATTATTGGTACCGTTTCAATTAAAAAGCTTGTGGAACACTTTCAGGATCAGTAACCAGTTTTTCGATATCTTGTATAGTTTAGAAATAATCGAGTGAGATCACTTATCGTTTCCACCCTGTATACTTGTAAATCCAACTCGCGTACCTCCTGGTCAGTGAATCCCTTGATCTTCTCTCGGTGTGAGGCGGGCGGACGGCCGCGCTTCCTCGGGCGATCATCGTCAGCACTGGCGTCGCCATCTGACGCGTCGCTCTCTGCGTCACCTTCGCCGTCCGCGCCGTCCATCCCCTCTGAGCGGCCGCGACGCTTACGTCCACCCTCTGCTTAAAATTCAACAAGTGTTAGAGCGCTTGTAGACGTCCGTTTTTTCACCGGACGACGGACCGTCAAAAAACGGATATCCTTTGTTTGCTGTCAATTTTCTAGCCGGACCCATGTTTTTCACCGGATTTAGCGGTGGCGTATGGTTTATAATGAACGTGTGCACATGCGTCGGACATAGGTCCGGCGAGAAAATTGACAGCAAACAAAGGATATCCGTTTTTTGACGGTCCGTCGTCCGGTGAAAAACGGACGTCTACAAGCGCTCTTAAAATAGCTATAGCACTAAATAAGAAAGATATAATGCTTCAACCACAGCAACGCGTGCAGATCGCCATCGCCGAGGCGCGATCACGGCGCGATGACAGTCCAATGACAGGTCGCGCGGACTGTCATGGGTCGCATAGACTGTCATGGGTCGCGCGGACTGTCATGGGTCGCGCGGACTGTCATGGGTCGCTCGGACTGTCATGGGTCGCGCGGACTGTCATGGGTCGCGCGGACTGTCATGGGTCGCGCGGACTGGCATGGGTCGCGCGGACTGGCATGGGTCGCGCGGACTGTCATGGGTCGCGCGGACTGTCATGGGTCGCGCGACCTTATTGGCCTATNTGACCTACGATTGCGCCGGCAATGGTGATCTGCACGCGTTGGTGTGTTTGAAGCTTTATTGTTAAACACAGAGGCAATATAGATAGTAGGAGTCGTAAACATTTTCGAGATTTTTAAAATCATAAAAGATGCGAGAAGATTAGATAAAATTCACGGCTTTACGTAACGTCTGAAGGACGAAATAATAATAGATATTATAAAGACGTTTAACAATTTCTGTTAATGTTAATATTATGAATGAACAGCGAGATCTCTTTTTTTGCATAACAAGGCAGGTAAGTATTCGACCGCAATCGCACCTGGTGTTAAGTGAGATGCAGTCTTGAGTTTCAGTAACTTCCATTGAATTTAAAAAATCTTATAAAGTACTTACTTCCATCAGCATTGTTTTGCTGCAAGTTCTTTCTTCTCGGTGGTAAGTACAAATCTTCCATTTCTTTATTCTTCTCTTCCTCAGCAATGGTTTTACGGACGTTCTCGGGAATAATATCGTCCTGCAAAGTCATACGAAATTATTTTTAGTATATTTTAATAATTTGATATTATTTTTGAGTAACTTACCTACATAATATCTATCTAGCTTTAATTTATGCTTACCCAGTCTTTAACATCTTCTTCAGCGTTTTCCTTTTTGACCTCCATGACAGCTTTATCTTCATCAAAGGCAAAACTGGCAACTTTGAATGCAGATAGTAGCTCGTCTCCTACCATGGCAGGTCCTTCGTCCCGAGTCTCGGCACGTTGTAAGATTTCATCTATATCACACTGAAAGAAAAATAATGTTGAATGAAATAATCTACAATTTTTATTTTTGTAATAGTTTTAGACATTCCATGACATTCTTTCTGCAAAGGTAACATTTCTAAACTATTCTGCCAATAGTATGAGATGATTAACCATTTAAGAAAAGATATTGTCTAGGTAGGGCAGGTAACCCTGTAAGCGATTTCGTTGCCATAAAGAAGGCGAGTTCGTACTGTTCGTGGAAGACATTGAAGGGATTAAATTGACTTATTGTCAACCTATTTTAAAACAAAAATATGAAACTTACGACAGGGTCCTCATCATTCTCATCGTCGTCTTTGAACAACTCCTCGGCGCCGAATTTCAAAATGGCGTTCAGGTCCTCTTTATTGAACGGATTGTTCGCCGTCGTAGCAGAACCATCGCGCTTGTTGAGAACCGTTCTGCCAGTCGTGTCCATCCGTTGTATGACCAGGTGGTCCAAGACCATTTTCCTTTTCGCCCTTTCTACAATGTCTTCTTCGACAGACCTGGCCGTTACTAGCCGGTAAATGTTGACCTGCATGCAACAAGAACTAATCAGTTACAAAGTTCATAGATATGTACCTACTATTTTTTTGACTAAAAATAGTCAAGAGATTAGAATTATTTACCTGATTTTTCTGTCCTATCCTATGAGCGCGAGCTTGAGCTTGCAAATCATTCTGTGGATTCCAATCAGAGTCAAAAATGATGACAGTATCGGCCGTGGCCAAATTGATACCCAAGCCACCAGCTCTCGTTGAAAGCAGGAAACAAAAGTCTTGAGACCCTTCAGCATTGAAGTGGTCTAAAGCCTGCTTTCTTATTTCCCCCTTTATGCTGCCATCAAGCCTTTGGAACGGGAAATGTCTCCTTTGCAAGTATTCGGCCAAGATATCTAACATTCTCACCATCTGGGAGAATATGAGCACTCTGTGCCCTGTTTCTTTCAGTCTACATAGAAGTTTATCTAATAGTAACAGTTTTCCTGAGCCTCTCAAAAGTTTCTGTAATGAGATAAACATTAAAATTAGATAAATATATCCAATTTAAGTAAAGTTATATAACATCTTAATTAATTTAATTTAAAGAAGATAACATAACTTACCTCTACAGCATCTGTTGTCGCAAGCGACGCTCTCGACTCGAAGTCCTCTGGCTTCGTCAAAAGCGCATGGTTACAACATTTTTTCAGTTCTATCACAATGTTAATGAACGTATTGATCGACCCTTTCACGCCTTTACGCAAGGCACTGTAATTCTTAGTTAGAATCCATTTGTAATATTGCTTTTGAATTGAGGTCATCTCCACCCTCAATATTTGTTCTACTTTAGCAGGCAATGACTTCTCAACGTCCTTCTTTTGCCTACGCAATATAAATGGCTCCAGCTGCCGATGCAATTTTTCGTAGCCTTTTGTTGATGCATCCTCATGGTCTTTTTCGAATTCCTCCCATGACTCGAATCTGAAATATAAATGGGATTTTATTTTTTTACCATTTAAAAAGAGTTTAATGGTAACAAAATATCAATTAACATTGTACCGGTTAATAAAACACTTACTTGTATGGCATAATGAAATGTAATAGAGCCCATAGTTCTTTGAGAGAATTCTGTAATGGTGTTCCAGTTACCAATAACCTATGGTTAGTCTCAAACTCTTTTAAGGCTTTGTATAACAGCGAGTCGTCATTTTTTAGTCTATGGGCTTCATCAACTAACAAGCATGCCCAACTAAAAGACCTTAGGAACTGTCTGTCTTTCAACAAAATTTCATAAGTTGTTAGAATGGCATTGAATTTCAATCTCTTTGAGCTGGCAAAACTCCATTCAAACTGTCTAATCTGTAATAGAAAGTTGCACATTAATACCCAATTTGAAAAAAAAAAAACTTTTTTGGAAAATATTGATTACGATTCACAAGCCCAGATGAGGCGAGCTTACTTACAATATCTCTGCTAACAACGTCGCCAATGTACGTAACTACGTTTATGTCCGGTGCCCACTGCTGGAACTCCCTCTGCCATGCAGTCATTGTACTCAAAGGCACCACACACAAGAATGGTCCATAAAGTTGTTGCGATTTGAAGAGGTAGTATAAAAAACATATCGTCTGAAAATAGTTTTCAAACCTAAGGTAAACATTCACATCAATTTAAAATTTAAAAAGTTTTAATAATACTATCAAAAATTATTGGAATTCTAGTTACCTGTATTGTTTTACCTAAACCCATTTCATCGGCAAGAATGACTGAATTGTCTTTACACCAGGAATGTATTAACCAGTTCAATCCATCCATTTGATAATCTCTTAAAAAATATGTCTGTAAATAAATAAAAAAACATTTAATCCAATATTCCAGTAGCCACATCATATCATCTTGAGTTAACACACACATCCAAGTCAAAGTTCGATAATATCTGACACAACATAATTTTATTAACGACACAAGTCAATTAAACACACAATGCCTATCCTAAATATCAATAAAATTATAAAACCAGCTAGCAGATTATTCAAAAAGAACCATACATTCGACATTACGGTAGAGACAAACCATTTAGCATGCTTTATTTTACATCTGCTTTGGCTTGCTAACTAAAGCAGACAAAACCTAAGTATCATAAAATTCGCGTGCAAGCCAACAGATGGCGCTACCGTAGCTGAGAGCTTGCTATTGCAATGGAAATTAGATTAGAAAAAATATTTCATACAAAAATAAAAAAATCTGCATTCAAATATTGGTGTTTTGTACCTAAGAACATTGTTTTTTTTAGTGACCAGTTAATAAATTATTACATTTATTTTTTTATTATTTTACATTGTAATTATGCTTAAAATATAATACAATAATATAAAAATACAAAACAATAATCAAAATATTTATGTTTTGTATGTTATCTTAATTTTTCTATCAAGTATTTGAAAAATTTGGATTCAATCATTACAACTGCTGTTAACCTATATTGATGCTGTGAGAAACACGAAGCCGCCATTTTGACGATACCTAGTTTTTGTATCAGCACGGCAAAAGCGATTGTCACAATTTGCGTTAATTTTTTTTTTACATAGGTAGGTTGTGGGAAAAGACTCATGAAAACTAACAACTAAAATAAAAAATTACTTGACAATCACATATTAGGTGCTTACCTATGAAATTGTCATCTTGTATGGAGAATTTGAAGGAAACTCAACGTTGAAAACAAACATATTTTTTCATTTTTTGGGAAGGATAAATAATTTTTTGGGCACCTATATGAATGAGGCAACAGTAATCTAACAGCATTTTTATAGCTGCCAGCTGTAAAAAAAATTACGAATCTTAGTATAGAAATGGAATAAAAACATAATTAATATGTAGACAAGAAATAGAACTTTGCAAAGAAATTTCGAACATTAAATAAATGTTGGAATCAATGGTTGTCTTGAAAATTACAGGAACTACGAATCTGTAAGAAAATTCGACAATTTCATTGGTAAGCCCTAATATTTCAAGATAATAAAATAGAAACTTACCTGATCTTTTCCCATGTATTCAGGCTGCTCCTTAATTTGATGAAATTTGGGCCTCCTTCTTAAAACAGGACAATGTCTAGACGGAGTAGTTTTGGCAGCTTCTCTTTGTTTAAAGTTGTCCACCTCCACTGGCCATCTCCGCTCTATTAGCGAGGAGTCCTCCCATGTAGCATCAGCATAAGGCAGAGACTCCCACTTGCAAAAATACTCATGGGCTGTTCCCCCACCTTCCAGTTCTCTTGTCTGCTCAGCTAAAGTTTAAGAAATATTCAATTAAATAAAAATCGCTAATCCATAACTTATCCTAAAATGGTTGTATTTGTACTTTTGAAAAGAAATTAAGAGCACAATGGATGGATGTCAATAATGAACAATAATAATTGCATCAGTAGTAGATATCTGCCTACTGGGAAGGCAAAGAGTAAAGCTTACATCTAGTTGCATAGAGAAACCATTAAATAACTTTAACAAATTATGTTGTAGATACTAGAAACACCTACACACTTATGACGTATTTGACGGTCGTTAAAAGTCATTAGTGACGTATATTCCAATGATCCATTTGCTACACAACAAAATAGACAAATTAACATGAAATGTATAGAAATATACCAACCTATTATCCTCTCCACATTGTTGTATGTTTTAACCAACTCTTGCTGGAGTTCAGATTGACATTCATAGTAATCTATATCCTCTGGGCCTGCTTGTTGTCTCCACCATGAAAGCTCGGCTTCTTTTTTAATATAATTCTCTAATTTCTTGAGACCCTTTACTTTTTGTTCATTTAATGATGCTTCAGACTCCCACGTATTATGAATATGTGACCACCCTTTCCATTTTATCAGGTACTGAGGTTCCGTTGTTTCTTCATCATTGGGGTTACATCCTTCATTAGGATCACCATGTTCTTCTATGTAATAGATGGTAGTCACATTCCCAGTGACTGCATAATGATAAGAAGATATTAGCTAAAATTTAACATTACATTTGCACCAAAATGCAAATTAAAGAGCATTATTGTCGATAATAATGATGATGACTCAACATGATCTTTGTTAGCACAGCAATGAAAGAGTTATTTGGAAAAACAATCATAGACTTTTTCATTTATTATCTTTTTCTAGGGTCAGAAAAACAAGTGAATAGTAAGTAAAATTAGGATCAGACATCAACATTATTCAGGCTCGGTTCCACTTTTCAGCCTTAGTACAACTCTTGATATTGACCAGGATTGATCCTAGCTTGTTTTAGACATCAATGTCTCACTATAATGCAGAAGAAGCAATTAAAACGAAAACCTTGACTCTCATAATTAGGATGATCACAAAGGAGGCAAATGGAATAGAACAAGAACAAATTGAGATTGTGGCCTGCACAAAACATCCACATAATAGTGAAAATGGCAATCTGCTATGATACTTTGATATTATATTAAATCATCACAAAGGTATGAAACTTGCTTTACAGAATTTTGAATGTCAGACTCACCTCCTTTCTTCCCCCTTCGAATTCCTAGAACTTTCTCAATTGTCTCACTGTGTTCTTCAATCTCCGGCTCAGCTTCACCTTCGCCATCAACCCCTTCCACTTCCAAGAGGTCAGAAGAGTCTGTTTGTTCATCACTAGCTTCTTTATAGCTAACTGCCGCACCTGTACGCCGTGTTGCTGTTCGACTATAGGAAGTACCAGTATGAATTAGGATAACAACAAAATTAACAGTGCAATATACTAAAGAAAGAAATGCCTAAATACCTTCGTGTATCTTCATCTGAAGCTTCTGTAGACTCCTCTTCTTCACTTGTGAATCTTCTTCTTCTCGCTGGTTTCTTTTTTCTCAATGGTACACTTCTTTGGCCTGGTCTTTTTGATGGTGGAGGTGGTGAACCCTTCATATCACTGTCACTCTCTGATGTGTCGGAATTCCATGAGTCACTATATTGGAAGAAACACTAAATGCTTATCAAAACCATAAAAGAACAAGGAGCTTATTAACTTTAAACAAGATGGGTACCTTTTTTTTCTGTTTTTCCTGTGTGATCTGCCTCTGTCACCTCTTTCACTTGAATCACTATCAGCTAATTTGAGTCTATCAGGTTCTTTTCTAGATCTACTTGACCTCCTGATGCCATATATATCAGGATTGTCTTCCCAAAGATCTGATTTGACTCGACCATGACCACCTCTAGACCTAGGTTTAGATGGAGAGTCATCATCTGAAGAGTCTTTGTCTGTATGGTGATCAGATTTTGAAGAGTTAGCATTATTGTGATGTTCGCTGTGATGTGATCTGTCTGCCAACGAAGACTTTTCTGATCCTGATCTTCCACCAGAACCTGATCCAGATGAGCTAGAGCCACTGTCACTGTAAATTATTTAGTCATAAAAACCTAAGCGTCCTTAGTTTTATAACAAAATGGCATAAATTGGAGTAAACATGTACCTTTCACTTCCGGAGCCAGAACCACTGCCTGAACCCGAGTCACTCTTTTCCCCTTTGTCACTTGTTGACTCACTCCCAGATTCATGCATGAATCCTTTCTGTAAGAAAGGATAGTGGTTAATTTCATACCAGATTAAACAAAATGTTATGTAAATTAATGTAATTGAGACTTTTTTTATTAATAAACATTACCAAATACTACTTATGGAGAAATTTTAAAAACTACAGTAAGCTGGGAGAAAATCTAAAACATTTCATAACTTTGCGTTAAACTGGGAGCCCAAAAAACATATGTTAATGTCAAATCCGATGTGATCCTATGAAAAACATCAATTGCAACAGTAAATTATGCAAAATCTATAATTTTATTTGGTCACTTTTGGTGAACTTTATACCAGAAAAGAACCTTTAAATACCATTGTCATTGAATTCACAATTCAATATACCTGATTACAAACAACCTAACCTCAATAATACCATGTTATAGGGTCAAAATAGTCTTAAAAATCAAAATTATAAATCAAAAAATGCTCCACTTTAGACAAAGGAAACATGGGAACTTGTGGCAATTTTAAGGAACCCAATATAAATATAGTTTCTAATAGAAGAATCATAACCTCAATAACATGTCTCCTGTAAAGTAAGACCAATTTTCAAAGCTAAATTGTGAAAATGGGTCCTATTCCAAAATTCATTTCATTGGTCTCTAAAGGACGGTTACGTAACCAAGAATCATCAGCAATGGTTTTTATCGTGGGACAGTAATGTTTTCATACATAAATTAACACATTTGTGTTGTAAACAATCCCAGAATCACCAAAATTCAGTATTACGTCTCAAAAATTCCCCTTGTTCAAGGGCCACACCCAGAACATCTAGAATATTCTCTGAATGTTTAAAGTCACTGAACAAGTTAAAAGTAAACAAAAACACCAAAACAATAATAAATAAAGCTTTAAAACACTTACCAGGAGCATTTTGAAGAAAATACAAGGAATACACTATAACTTGAGGAACGTAGGGGAAAAATACTTGAAAACGAAATATTTCATTGAGAAATGAGCTAGTAAATTATATGAAATAACATTTTTCAACACATTATTTTGGTAAGCTAGTAAAATACGAAAAAATATTTCGCAGGAAAATCTCGTCAAGCGACGCCATTTTGTCGTCGCATGAATTCTGGTGACGAAGGAAATGAAAAATTGGTAATTTCCCGACACAAATTAGGTTAAAACAGGTTAAAAAGTTACGATAATCACAAAAAAAATTAAAAATGAAACTTTACAGCCGTCGGAAATACTACGTTGTATGGGAAACGATGAGAGCACCGCACACTACCAGCGAAACCCGAAAGCTACAGCCATATTGCCGTGTGCCAGCTACTACTGCGAAAATAGGGATGTAAGTAAAATCGAGTTAACTCAATTAGTCGAATTTATTTTTAAAAATATGTTTTTTTTAAATTACCTTTCTCATGTCTTCCAATAGAGCAGTTTTAAACAAATTATTATACTCTTATTTCGCATTCTGTTGTTAGATAGGAAAGAAACATTATTTTTTACGAATTATTTAAAATTTGCGCGAAAACAGCCAATCATGTGGCATCTGCTGGCCGCGAACTCACATCACCCAAAAAACAACAAATTCAAATGTATTATAAAAGAAACTTCTTTTTTTTACAAAAAATATTGTTTCTTGCACTGCTTCTTCTCAGTACTGGCTCATTTATTGCCTCGAAGCAGTAGTGGTAGAGATAAAGTAATACTAGGACGAGTAAAAGGATCACAGTTAGCACACAACAGATATTTAATTTAAAAAAATAGGATAAAAAAAAGTAGCCTAAGTACCCTCATACTTAAAGATATAAACGAACGGTACCTATAATTACATTTAGTTCTTAAGACTGAAATTCACATTGCCTAAAAATGCATTTCTGTTGACTCAAAATGGATGGCTTACATTATTTTAATTTCTGCCGTTAAGGCGAAAGTTTCAATTATTAAGAGAGATTTAAAAAAAAGGAATGGAGTTAGCTGACACCCTGGTTTAACACATAGGCTACATTTTACTACGAAAAATATACCAGGGGTAACACCGTGGGGCACAGCTTGTCTTAAATAAACTGCTAATATCTTCTTATCGTGTCGACAACAAACCTACAGTGTCAGCCCAAAACTCCGCTACAACTACAAGAGAAGAGTGGCGTTGTCAGCAGCATTTATTAAATCCTCCTGCGTGCAGTTTTTCGGGCACTCAGGGCACTACATCATGTGCTTCATCGACTGGAGAACAAAACCGCACCTGCACTTCATATTTGAGCTGTCCAAGAATCCCCACCAACCCCCACTGTTAATATTATGCATCCACTTAAAACACAATTAGTCGATTTATTGGATTGCAGATACATCACTATCTCCAACTTCAAATCTAGGAACGATGATGTCACTTCCGATAACTGCGTTCACTAGTTAATAAATTAATAATTATTGTGATAAGCATACTGCTTGCAATGAGAAAGTCAAAGCTAAGGTCAATCAAAGCTTACGTCCGCCAAACTAAATACAGGATGTTAGGTATATGGGTATATGAACCGACACTAGCCCATGTTAACATGGTCATATTAAATGGTATGGTGAAGTCTGAAAATTGATATCTTCATTTTAATTATTTTATTTTTCATACAAATCGTATGTTATAAAATTTATTTTGTATGTAAATAAAAAAAAAATATGATATCAAATTTCTGACTTCACCATAATTACCATCTATCTATATGCCCATGTTAACATGGGCTAGTGTCGGCTCATATACCCATTTACCTAACACCCTGTATAGAGCTCCAAAACATTAGATTGATTTAATTATTATTTTTTAAATACTAAACTAATTTTTTTTAATCCAGTTGGGCTAGGATGCGCGCGCGCGGGGGTGCGATGGTGAGGGACCTCCCCGTGGTGCATCCCGGGCAACGTCCGTGTGTTCTGTCACGCGGGCGGCTGACTCCTCACCGGCGCGGCAGGTCGCGTCAACTCGGCGGGCCTGTCGGGCAACCCGTAACCCCCCAACGGAGGGGGGCCGGGGGCCCCGGCTACGGAAGTCGGGGCCAAGACAAGGAAAAGTCTTTAAAACCCCTAATCCTAAGGTCTGGCGGGGGCCGAGGGGATGAATAGCTAGAGGGTATCTAGTATGCTACCCCGTCGTGGAGGTGGGGCNGGTTCACAATGTGTTAAAGTATTTGTCGAAGAGAAATACTAAGGGTTCGGACAATATTTTCATTGAATAATGTTTCCGACAAAAGTTGTCAAATTGACTGACATGTTTATCGTATAGTACAGTCCACTATGAAAATTAGCTGTGGTTTGTTTCAACTACATATTTTAAAAATTTTGTCACTTTCTAAGTGTTGAATTTTATGGGATTGGGAAAGAAGTACCGAGTTTGAAGCGTTCATGAGCAGACATTGCAGTTGAATATTCAAGTTCTGAATTTGATTATTGATGAATAATAAAATAAATCTACTAGCTCGATTGATGGTTTCATTTAATTTATTTAAATCAGGTTACCTATAATAATATTATTTCGTTAATTTATGAAAATATCAAATTAGCCCGTAATCCTGAATCCTGATACATAAAGTTAGCATATTAATTTAACACAGGTACGACTGTACTCAGTGTTGCACTATCAAATGCAATTGAGGCGCCTCTATGCCAGGGTTTTTATGTTCCTGGTCAGGCTCATAAAGTTAATATTCCTTCGGAATATTAACTTTATGGTCAGGCTATACTAACATGGCAAAAATCGGAACCAGCGATCCGGTATTGACGGTGGCGCCCCACTGTCAATGTCATCGATAGGACAGTTCACTATTTTGGAACTATAAGCATACTGCTTGCAATGAGAAAGTCAAAGCTAAGGTCAAAGCTCACGTCCGTAAGGTCAGGTAAATGGGTATATGAACCGACACTAGCCCATGTTAACATGGTCATATAAATGGTATGGTGAAGTCAGAAAATTGATATCTTCATTTTAATTATTTTATTTTTCATACAAATCGTGTTTTATGAAATTTATTTTGTAAGTATGTAAGTAAAAAAAAATTATGATTTCAAATTTCTGACTTCACCATACCATCTATAATATGCCCATCTTAACATGGGCTAGTGTCGGCTCATATACCCATTTACCTAACACCCTGTAGCTCCAAAACATTAGATAGGAATAATGATGAATATTATTTTTTAAATACTAAACTAATTTTTTTTAATCCAGTTGGGCTAGCATGCGCGCGCGCGCCGTGATAAACTTCCATCCTTTCTATTCCTTCCTATCAAGGATTTTTGTCGACAAACGTATGGCCTTATCGCCTATAAGCCATAGGCTTATTATCGCATAGGCCAGGGATGGCGAACCAATGGCACGCGTGCCATCGATGGCACGCGCCACAATATTTAGGGCACGCCACCAATCACAAAATTTAACTTGTACTATCTATACCCCTCATTGATAGCATTAGGTGTTATTTGATGGCACGTCTATGACTACATTAAAAATTTTTTTCGGAAAAGTGGCACGTTGAGACATAAAGGTTCGCCATCCCTGGCATAGGCTTATCACGTTAAATCGACCCATCAAAAACAATACTTGTCAAAAAAACCAAGTCTCGCAACTCAGTTGTTCTACGGTAAAAAGTTGTGAGATCCATGTAATACCAAGTCCAGGCCAGGAAATCTTTAACGTTTTACATAAATTATTGACTTGGCCATCGCACTAAATAATTTAATTTACACGTGTTTTCATGCGATGGCCAAGTCAATATATGTATTTATGTAAAACGTTAAAGATTTCCTGGCCTGGACTTGGTATTACATGGATCTCACAACGTTTTACCGTAGAACAACTGAGTTGCGAGACTTGTTTTTTTTGACAAGTATTGTTTTTGATGGGATCTCATTTCTTTTTGTATTTTATAGACAGCAGTTATGTATCTAGAAAACTGGACCGAAATTGAAAAATTTTACTCTACTTGGCGGTTGCACTACCGTGCCCCCAAATATTTTAGTTTTTCCTTGATTCATACACCAAACACTACTTATATTCCAAATTTGAAGCTTCTAGGTCTGCTAGAAGTGCCTTAGAATTTTGATGATCGGTGAGTCAGTGAGTGACAAAATTAAGTAACTTTGAACCGTTATAATTCTTAAACTACTGGTTCAAATTGAATGAAATTTTAAATATACCGTATCTTTACAATGCCTGCATAGCTAATGAAAATTCAGCCTTCTAGTTTTATCCACAACAAAGTTACAGGCGGTCGAAAATGGCCTGAATTGCTTCGAGAAAAGGATGGTACGGCCGTGCCGCTTTTTTGCTCGACTTGGTGGGGGCACTGCCATGCCCCCAGATAAAACGGCGCGATAAAAGCTTATCGCCGTGCACATCCTAGGTCTACTGGACAAAATATTTAAATTTTTAATAAATTCGTTTTACAGTGTGAGTCACGTTAAAGTGTACATATGAAAATAGATGAAACTAGACCTATTTTTATCGACAAAAAAGAGATCAAAATTTTTTTGAGATTTTTCTTAATTTTTTATAGAATTTTTTTCTTCGAATTACTTATTGTAAAGAAAACGTAATAACTTTTAAACTAAGCGGTATATCCTGATAAAAAAAAACAGTAATAATGCTAAATAACAGGCGATACTAAAAAAATACATAAAACACACAAAAAAGGCCAACAAATAATAAAAATATATACTTTTTGAAATAAATCTGCTTTTAAATTCGTGTTTTTTTTGGTTATTTGATAAATTTCTCCAAAAAATGCCCCTATAACCGGTGGTTTTTATTACGTTGTATTATTTTATATCCTATTACCTTCGCAAAACCAAAAATTGCATGTCTCTATCCCTATCACAACATTTGCTATGATCGTTTCAACAAAGGCCTGCCACAACATTATTCTCCGCTACAGGTAGACAATTTTAATTTTAACTAAAATACTTATTTTACTTCAAAATCTTTTGTTTTTATTTGAAATCTAACTTGTTTTTATCAAAATTACAAATCTAGAGCCATTTACAGTTTCGTTGTTAATGAAGCATCGAATGGCGCGGCAGGAGAGGCTTAGTTCAAACGATCATTGCAAACGTTGTGATAGGGATAGAGACATGCGATTTTTGGTTTTACGAAGGTAATACGATAGAAAATAATACAACGTAATAAAAACCACCGGTTATAGGGGCATTTTTTTTAGAAATTTATCAAATAACCCATAAAAACACGATTTTCAAAGCAGTTTTTTTTTTTCAAAAAGTATCATTTTTTATTATTTGTTGGCCTTTTTTGTGTATTTTATTATTTTTTTTAG